CCCCGAAACATACTGGTACCGCAAAGTGGACCGTAACGAAATAGGTTGCATTAGGTTGCCATAGTAACCGTTATTATTGTCTGAAAAATGACAATATATATGACTAGCGACGCACGGGCGTCGATTTGATTGATAGTCCCTTTTTTTTTATAGTTGGGAAATCCTATTACGGATACCACCCGACTTCCCCCCCAGGGTGGTTATGTGGAGACTCTCCGGCTAATGAGACCGGCATACCCACTAAAACCCAACTTTCCCCACAGCCGCCATGTGGGACGCCACGGGACCGCTTTCGCATACAACCGTGACGCCCCGACGGTTGGCCGAAGCCACCAACCATGAGGCCGCCCCAAGCGGGACGACCCCATTATGGGAAGACTTGCAACCCTGAGACGTGAGACTGCTCCCAAGTCCACTCTGCTGAACAGAGAAGTACCCGGAGCAGCCCCACACAACCAAACACCGCCCACCGAAGTGGGCAACCTGCAAAAACAAGCGGCCTAAGCCTAAACCTTCCTGCCCAAATTGGGCAAACCTCCACGGCGTCCGAAACCGAACCACCCCAAACGGCTGCAGGAGTAGAGGATGCGACAACGCCGACACTCCCCTTCCCCTACAGCCCCACCGCGTCCACCATCAACGGTGGTGGCCCCGCTAGGCCGCGGGAGATAGGGACGAGCGGCGCATCGCCATACCGACACTCCTCTTCCCCCGCGGCCCCCCTACCGTCGGCCCACCTCCGGACCAAAATGGCTGCCGACACCCACGCCAGACGCAGGACCACCGAACTGGCCCCGCTCCAGCCGCCGCACCGACGGGCTAGCCCCGGCAGCACGGCCCGCGCAGCGCCTCCTACCGCGAAACGGCCGGAGAAACCGCGCTACCTCCAAGAAGGAGACGGCGCCCTCCTGACACCGCTCCCCCTGCCCCTCCTGGCTGTTGGTCCGCGCCGGATTGCTCCGGTACCACAAGCTCCTGTCTGGGGGAACAGTCGCGAGTGGCTTTCCCCTATCCGCCACCCGGGGGACGCGTCCGGTAGCAGTCAGCCTCTGCCCCGGATGGTTGATAGTCCCTAGGTTGATTCCTCATACAAACTTTCATCCCCATTTTCACCCCCTTAAGAGATATTTTCAGTGATAAAAAGTATCTTATGTCCTTCCTAGGATCCCAAACTATCTTCTTACCAAATTTGATCTAAATCGGTTTAGTAGATCCAGAGATTACCCCCCAAAACCTCAAAAACTCACAAAGTCACAAACTTTACCTCTATAATATTACTAGCGGCTCACCCTCGCTTCGCTCGGGTTCGTCGCTACATCGGTACATTTTAAATAGGTATAAATAGTTATTAGCTAGCGTTGGCCATATAAATTTTAATTTTTTTTGTTAATAATATTGACAAATATTGACATTAATATTTATACGATTCTAACGTCACTTAATTGCCATCAATGTTTTTCCTTCCCGGAACCTCTCCACTAGCACTTAAACTCTATGGTATAGTATTAAAGTTCAAATTGACTTTTAAGTATTATTACGAATCTTTTGTATGGGAGTATAGAAAAGTATTGTTTTTAGACTTTTTCAGGCAATTTTTAAATTTTTCTCTCTGTAAGAACAATCCTTTTACTTCAAGGAATATTCTAAAAAAAAGAATTAGCGAAATCGGTTCAGCTGCTCTCGAGATTTGCGATTAGCAACACATTCAGCGATTCATTTTTATGTTATAGAATTAGTATAGATAGCGACACACCCTCGCTCCGCTCAGGTTCGTCCCTACTTACGTTTTCACGTTTAGTATATATTTATCATAAATCAGCTATTTTCCCGCAGAAAAAAGTATCCTTTATGTTTACCCGGGTAACCCCAGCTATCATCATACCAAATTTCATTGAAATACCTCTAGTGGGTTTACCGTGATGCGGTCACAGACAAATAAAAATTTTAAAAAGTATATATTCGGCTTCTAATCGAAATATCGATAATAATTATGTAAATAATAATGTCTATTTCAATAAGATTTGATATAAAAATTCAATTATTTAATGTACAGATTCGACTTAGTTACAATTATATTATATGTATAGATATTATTTCCGTTGCTATCTTGAAAGATTATTATTTTTACTAATTTGTTTTCAAATATGCAAAATAATTAAACTCAATGGCGGGCTCAATATCTACTTATAATCGCCGTTCTTGTTCGTTTCTACTCGGTGTAACTCACGACTCACACGTGATTTTATAATGTGCTTATAGAATTTATTCCGATTGATTGACGATTGATTTAAATAAAAATGCGTGTAATTTGGACAAAATTTATATCTATACTAATATTACAAAAAGGTAAAGTTTGTAAGTTTGTGAGTTTGTGACGTTGTAAAAGGTAATCTCTGGATCTATTGAACCGATATAGATGAAATTTGGTAAGAAGATAGTTTAAGACCCCGGGAAGGACATAGGATACTTTTTATCCCACAAGTCATCCCTTAAGGGGGTGAAAATGGGGATGAAAGTTTGTATGGGGAATCAAGCTAGGGACGAACCCGAACGAAGCGAGGGCGAGTCGCTTGCTAAATAATAACCAGGAAGTGTATAAGAAATATAAAAATTCAATATGTCGGCCTCAGCTCGTGATGTAGCCAGCCAGAAATATAAACCTCTCATCGGAAAGAGTGGGTTATGGGCTATGTATAGGTACCCCAATGTCCGGTGCTGAGCAAGCGAGGCGGTTCTGAGAGCGTCTCAAAAGTGCGAAGGCACCGCTTTGTAAACAACGACTTATGTTTCGTATTTCTCATATCACAGATCAATTATTAACAGAATTGTTGTCCAATATTAATAGAAAGAACTTTATGTTCACTACCTATTCAGTATAGTATTAAAATGTTTAGAACGAGTTTTGTTTTTATTCCAATCTTAAACGCTAAAAGCGACTCGCTGAAATAGACGTTTCACGTTAAACCAACGTGGTGTGCCCCGACACAGCCCCACCCGATTTTTTTCGTTTGAAGTTTGAACCTATCGGTGTATCTTCTTGTACCTATCGATCCATGAAAATCATTATAATATATTCTTTGGTGGCACGAAAAACTCGGCGCACTAATTTTCCTCGTCCTTGGTTAATTCTTTATATCGAAACGATAAAAGAAATAAAGCAGCTTCTTAGTATCCATTCTCTAAGCTTATTCAATGTCATGGTTATTTTTTGCAAATCAATTTGATTTACACACGTGTAATGACTTCTCCCATAATGAAAACTACAAAAATAAAACGAACTACAAAAATTAATAAGAACAAGAAATCGTGACGAGACGAGACGAGACGAGGAGATTGCTCCTTTCAGTTATAAAAATTTCAAATTTTATGAAATATTTTCAGCGGTTTGAAAATTAAAAAAGAAGGCTACGTAGACCCATAGAAAACTTGTAATAGGCATTTTCTCAAATAAACTGAACTCAAAATTTCATACTTAGTAGCAAGATACTGAAATTAAAAAAATTGCTTAATTTTACAGGAAACTTGTCCTCCTACGTACTATACACCTATTATGTCCATTGTTGTTATACTAACATACATTACTAATAAAAAGTATTTGCGAAAATAATTGAAATAATATTGATTAACAGTGTCGGGAAACGAGAAAATTTACCAACTATGCACACGTGTAATATAAACGCAAGCAATGGCGCAAGACGTTATTTGACCAACCAGTGCTGTAGCTATTTGCCCGATTTCTACATTACTAACTGCGAAATAAACCTTAGTCTAAGTACACAACCTTGTCAGAATATCTACTCCGAGATTTTGAAATGCCTGTTGCGGGATAATATGAACCAATAAATCTTAAAATTAAATGTTAAAGTATGTAAAGATATATTATTGTTAACTTTTATTAATTTATAGAACACTTCTAAATTGTATTTTTTGTTATCAACGTGTGTACTTGTGAAGAATGTTTTTATACTAGGCAGTAGCAGATTTTGTAGAAGTAAGTATACCGTGGGGCTTGCCGTGTAACATATTTATAGCGGGCTACTCACACACCCGCAGGGGCAACTTCTTAGATTGCCCCTGCGGCAGGGTTCCATGATAAACAATTTACTACCGATCTTTAATCTTTAATTTTCTTCCCTAACACCTTAGAAACTTTAAAAAAAAATGTATATTTCAATTTTCAGACAATATACTAACATCTTTACATATTTTGTTTATATGTGTATTATTTTTTTTAGTTCTACGGTTGGCTACCCACGATTTTCAGAAGAAGGATTAAAAAAATATTCAAAGCATATACAACTACATTTTTACTATTGGAAAAATAATATATGTCTATACACCACATTCCCAATATCCCTTTTGTAAATAAATTAAAACGTAAAATTTGTTAAACTTGATAAGCTCAGTGCAAACGTGACGATAAGGGATTGACAATATCCTCATATTGTCTTCCATTTAATGCGATAATCTAATTCATTACCTAAATCTTTTCAATTTATCGGCACGTTGTTAGTTTGTAAAGGTAGGTAGGTATAAGGTATGTACCTATCTATAAAATATTTACTTAATAATTAAAATCTTTTGAAATAACATCCGTCTCTTAGTTGCTTAATGTTCAATTAATGTTTTAAATCAACTGAAATCTTATTCGGTATTATAATATTAATTACATTAATTAACATTTATTCATATGTTAAAAGTAAACAAAAAATCTAAACTAAGCGAAAGAACTTCGCATGGTGGTAAGAGAAGTAGGAATTCTATATTATGTGTAAAATGTGTGTCTGATTTATGTGCTATAAATAACGGATCAGCCAAATTGTTAATTTACTAATAAAGACTTATGTAATCACCATTCGATAACTTATCACCACAATAATTGTACATTGACCTTTTATATGAACTCGAATATTTACTCTTTGTTTATTCACAGTTAAAATTCAATCTGTCTGTGGGTAGTTGCATAGAACACTAGAAAATAGTTAACCGTATAATTCGTAATGAATAATTCTATAACAAATTTTTGGTTTTCGTGTTTCAATGCTAGTCTTAATGTTTTTACACGCGTCGTATTAATTATTATAAGTGCAAGTGTTTATCATGCGTTTGTTTTGGTGGAAGTGTTATTGAATAACTCGAACGTGTGGTATCCCGAACGCTTATCAAAACTAGTCGAGTCCAGTCAAAAAAATGTCTCAAAGTTCACATTTCTTACATTTAGAAGTTTCTCAACTCAGGTACCTATGCAATAAAGATTTTTATATATTTTAGTGTGTAAATTTTTCCCACGACTCAATATTGTATTACACTGGCGTCCAATACTTATTAATTTGCATATTAAAAATCCATTTATCAAAATAGCAATAAAATAAAACAAAAGGTTGTACATTAGATATTTTATTGTGAATAGAAATAAATAACAAACTTACATTTTTGTCTTATTGTTTGATTGCCATATAAGTTATAACACAAGTTAAGGAATATCCATGGATTTTCAAATTATGAGATCTTCAAACCAGTTTATAACAAGTATTGAGTTTCCACCTACCTATGTTTAAATATTTCTATGAAGTAATATAAAATATTTTTCACCTTCATATTCCTTTTAATTGACCTATTTCATTGTACTGTATGTTATAAATATTTATTTATTACACAAAAGAAACCAGGCCTACCTAACTTAATTACAACGTAATACATACAAAGTACAAACATAAGTAACGTTCTAAACATGTTTTTTCTGTCAATCTATACTTATAATAAAATTGTAAGTAAGCCGAATCTGTACATTAAATATTTTTTGGAATATCTTATTGAAATAGACATTATTATCGATACAGTGGCCGAATCTATAGTTTTTAGAATTTTTGTCTGTCTGTCTGTCTGTTACCGCATCACAGAAAAACTACTGGAGGGATTTTGATGAAATTTGGTATGGTGATAGCTGGTTATCCGGGTCAACATATAGGATACTTTTTACCGCAGGAAAATGTCTCATTTCTGAGAAAAAAATACAAAAACTACAATGTAAGAGTATACTAATATGTAAAACCTAAGAATTTAGTTCTTGATCATTTGAACACGGGCGGAGCCGCGGGCAATGCTAGTAATCCTATAAATATATCCTATAAAGAGCATATATGTAGCACATAATATTTACTTACATCTTACAGGTAGCTAGACATTATTTACCTAGCGACCTGGGGAGCACTGTACAATTTTAAATCGCTGAAATTTTCTGATAACGATAACATTACTATAAGGACCCTCTCAACTATATTTTACTCTAAAAATTATTTAAAGTTATCACAATGTAAACATCGATAAATATCGATAAATTAATATTTAGTGTAAAATATAGTATTTTTAGGTTTTGTACGCAGTTCCGCTCGCGTGTTTCATTTATTTAAATTGTTCCGCTATCAACACTCACAGCATGATGTTGATAACTGTCCATTCTCAATAAATAGGCCATAAAATACGAAGTTAATTATCTATTTGTATAGCATTTTTATACTGTATGTAATATGTATATTGATGACAATTTATTTAATATTGTTTACGATATTTTTAGGAGGTGTAGAAGAATTACTAAAGTATCTCCTGTGCAAAAATCAATGTATAATATCCTGGACTTTTCAAGAAAAAAAAAATTGAAATCAAATATACCCAATAATATCGAAATAAATGATGTTAGGTCTGTCTTGATTGCACAAATACGTGGATAATTGATAATTTAACATATTTTGTCTAAACAATATTTTTTACGGTATTTGTTATTTTTCATTAAAACCTGATGAAAGTAAAAAAAAATCATATTTCAAAAACTACTCAGTTCTGTCACAAGGGAGTTTTACTGGTCTATTTGTAAAAAGATGATATCCATTTTTGGGGGTCCAAATCACACTGTGCATGGCATCAAATGTCACTGAGTGTTTGACACAACTATGAGTGCGGTCTCCATTCCTTTTTCACTCTAATTCTGTTGGGAGTTGGGACCACAGTTCAACTGTACAAACTCTGTAAGAAATACCAATAGGCGTAAAACCGATGGCATTATTGTAATGAAGTAATCGGTAGTAACACCATCCTAAAACTCTTAGCTGTTACTAAAAATTTCTTGACAGAAAAGTTCTATAATTATACTTAGCCCGAGGCGGGACTCGATCCCAAGACCTCCAAATTCGCATTTGTTCATGCTATAATAATTTTAAGGAGGCTACAAAAGGTTCCATTATTGATAAGCCAACATTCAACAAGCATTCTCTACATTCAATTTACTGTACCTATAAATAATTGAGACTTGTCTATTTTACAGTATTTATTATAGCTAAGAGAGCGCATAGAATTAGCTTAGAAGAGCTACGCCATCTTTAAATATTACGAGTACCTAACAAGTTATGTATCTACTAGTCACTGGATTACAATAAAACTTAACCAGTTGTTAAATCAGAGAATATTTAAATATAACATTTTTCATATTATGTATAGTTTAAAAAGATTTAAGTATGAAAGTTTATTATTGAATAACTCGTAATAAGTACCTATAATTTTCTCTTATTTTTGTAAATATGTATAAAAAATTGAATTTAGATATTTTGCCTAAATTAATTTAATTTAATGTTATTGTTAGTACCAGGGCGACCGAGCTTTGCTCGGAGTAAAACTAAAAACTTCCATACATACAAAAGTAAAAACTTTGTATCAGATCGGGATTAGAACCCAGACACCTGTTTTCGACAATCATGCGCCTTGGCCATTTGACCACGATACTTTTGCCCAAGCGTGCGAAATTAGCGAGCATATTTTCCGTGGAATAATGCGAAAGAGAACCACATGAAAACTAGAAAACACGCGTTTTCCCAGACAAGACTAATCTAGATCGATTTTTCGCCCCCGAAAACCACCACGTACCTACCAAATTTCAGCGAAATCGTTAGAGCCGTTTCCGAGATCGCCAATATAAATAAATATACAAGAATTACTTGTTTATGTATATTTGATTTGTTATGATGTTCGTGTGTGTGTAGTATTAATTAGTATTCCATGTTCATGACTTCATTTATGAAAGTCATTTTATGTAATTGTTGACATAGTTTTGAATTGGAAAATCGAATTACCCTAGATACTTGTTTTTTTTTTATACTAAAGATTTTTTTTTAATTATTTATTATTGGTAGGTTTTATTTATGATATACGACGTATATATGTGTTAGGATTTTTTCTAATAATAACTCGTATAAATTGGTTATGACTTCCACGACTATTCAAAATATATTATAGTTGCTCAGAGCAAGCAGAAATTTAATAAATTATACTCCATATACTATATAGTACATATTATTCTTTTTATTAATTCATAATTTATATCAATGTTTCAGGCAGTAATGATGAACGGGTTTATGAGATGGCTCCTTCGGTTCCTGGTGTCGCTTCTACAGGTTGTGGTTCGCCCAGTAACGTATTTGCTAAACATCAAAAGGAATAGAAAATGTCCACCCCCAACCAATCCTATACTATTCAAATCTGCTACAACATTAGCCTTGATGATAAGAAACAAACAGGTAAATTTTAAATTTTTTTTTTTAAGTTTTTATTGTTTTTGTTACTAGTTTTTACAATTAAAGTTTTTTTATGATAAAGGCTATTTTTTAATACTTAGTACTTTTTATTATTCAGTTACTCTTCTAATTTATATACACAGATAAAAACAAATTAAAAAAATTGGACAAGTTACCAGTATGCGTATTCAGTAGAGATCTTTTATTAAATATATGTATGTAATGCCTTGACTAATTTTAATATTTTTTTTCTAAAAAGTGGATTTTATAAATGTTTTTTTTTTGTATTTACCTACATATATTTTTTTAATTATGCTGGCGGAGGGTGTCAGCAATTGCGACACAGTTATTAACCTTTTGCGATTACTTACTATCGTTTTTATTTCTTATTGTTAGTTGTTACTAAGTATGTAGATATACCAACTTAAACTTTAATAAATCCTACCTAGAAGGCTAGAATGGATCTAGTCAGGGACGACGCTCTGTACCTACGAATGTAAAACTTCGACGACATGACAATTAATTTAAGCGAGAAATTATAGACAGACAGACAGAGAGACAGACAGACAGTGTTCCTATTTTCCTTTTGATGTGATGATATGATTCTTTTGGTGACGGAACCCTAAAAATATTGATTTATTAATAATAAAAAAAAATAAGAATGGGGTTTAATGATTTAGATTTTTTCCATTTATTAACTTTATAAGCACTTTAAAATCATCAAATTTAAATTTGTAGAAAAACTAGTCTGTCTTTATTTTCATCTCTGTTGAATCTTCTAACATAACCTTGTGAAATTATATGATGATGATGATGTTCTCCTGGCCGATTCCGGCTACGGCGGCCAATCTCATTGAGACTAGCCAACTGCGCAGGAGATATTATAGTGCACAAGTGTACGCGCAGACACAACGTGCACTTTCTATTCCTGTCACTCTCATCCTCCGGTGGGACGACTGCTCGACACGACCGGTGAGATTGACCGACGGCTTTACGTGCTCTGCCTCGGCACGGGGGTGAAACACCAACTTCCCAACTCGGGGCTGTTACTGAGACTTACTATACAGAAAGACTCAATAACTAAACTTGGCCCGACCTGGGACTCGTACCCAGGACCTCCGAGTGAGCAGCCGTACATGCTAGCCACTACACCACCGAGGCAGTTAAAATTATAAAAAAACTATATAAAACCAATTATAATTTATATCCTAATCTCACAAGAAATTAAGACAAGGAAATAGGCGTCGTCATAGGTAGACACGCATGTACCTACGCGTATAATTTCTTCCGCATATACTTATAATATGCAATATCTATTTTACCGTTTATTAAAGTTTGATAATAGGTGATGCAACAGTTATTAAACTATAACTGCCTTATTAAACAATTTATATAATCATAGAATAAATGTAAGCAAACTATTCCTTGAACATGTATTAAAATATATTACATAAACTTAAAAACAAACTGCTATTTTACCATTTAATATTAATAAATTTAATTCATCTCTTAAGATATTTACCAGAACACTAATTACAAATACCTTACAAATGTTTTATTTTTATTTTACTAGACAAAATATAGATAGATATATGCAATACTAAACATACATTCTATTTAAGAATGCTTTTCAAGTCGATAATAAATATATAATATATAATATACCTGTATTTACTAAATTTAATTTGTACGTCACAATTAGTGTGAACTTACGACTTACCGTCGCTCCGCTCGGGTTCGTCCCAGCTTACTTTTTAACGTTTAGTATAGATTTCTCAGAGATGAGATATTTTCCCGCACTAAAAAGTATCCTATATGTTGACCCGGATAACCAGCTACCACCATACCAAATTTCATCAAAATCCCTCCAATGATTTTTCCGTGATGCGGTAACAGACAGACAGACAAAAATTCTAAAAACTATAGATTCGGCCTCTGTGATCTGTGATAATGTCTATTTTAATAAGATTTTCCAAAAAATATTTAATGTACAGACAGATTCGGCTCAGTAAGAACTTTATTATATGTATAGACTCGCACTAGGCAAGTTTTTATTTTTTTCTTAAAATTGAGAATTAATTAAAAATGTATAAAACAATAATTACGCTTGCACAATACACAATACAATTGGCAAATATATTTTTGGCAGCTCGATTATTGTTTAATCTTTTAATTTAGGACTCGCGCATGAAGGGTTTCGTACCATTATCTATAAAAATAGCATAAAAATCACGTTAGTTGTATGTGAGCTCCCTTAAATATTTATTTTATTCTATTGTTTTGTATTTGTTGTTATAGCGGCAACAGAAATACATCATTTGTGAACATTTCAACTGTTTAACTATCACGGTTCATGAGATACAGCCTGGTCACAGACGGATAGACAGGCGGACAGACAGCGGAGTCTTAGTAATAGGGTCCCGTTTTACCCTTTGGGTACGGAACCCTAATAAACTACTCTAAAATACTCAGTTGTGAATGCAGAGCCCGAACCATGAGTTCGAAACGTGCGGTTTCTCGATAACCAATCACAGCGCGAGGACCTTGGGCCCCCATCAGCTGCTGGCATTGATAAGCTATTTTTCTAAAAAGACTTTTTTGTAGTACTAATTTGTAAACTTTATTTACGTCTGGGAAGGGTATAAAACCGCTAAATTCGTCTGGCGATTTGTAAATATTATTGAAAATTACTCAATAAATACGTGATTAAAATTTCAGATTGCCAAAAGTATGTTTTTTGGAATAAAAAAAGAATGAGTCTTTGGAGAGGTCTGGCAATACTTTATAACCGACAAAAACATCTGGGGTCTTTTTTAATTGAATTATTTGAAAGCTAGATTAAAGGATTAAACAAAAATCAAGTTGCCAAAAATATGTTTTTTTGGATATTTTATTTGCAAATGTTGTATACTACGCAGTAGCGAAATAACCGCTAAAGCTATACCAGACTCGCGGGACTGGACTCGCCAATTCACGAAATTATATTTTTTCACAATTACAACTTGCCAATAGGACCTTCCCAAAATTCGTCGCAAGCTCTCGGGCTATATAGAAAATTGTTACAACATATCTTTCTAGGTTTTTATACTTAATTATGAAGACGTATAAATAAAAATAATAATACCTACGCAGGCTATCGAAGATACTAAGAAATAATTAATAATATACGGAAACTACAACAACCTTTTGATTCTTTATTTAAAAGAAATGGTCACAAAGAAATATTTCGTCCAGTTTAAACTTCTTACGTATAATATACCTAACTCTAATAAGATAATGATCATACTGATAGCTAAAATATATATCTGATACACATAAAAACATATTAATTTTAATACTAATTTGTAGAAAAAACAATAAAAATAAAGTTCTTGACACTATTTTGTTTATACGAGAGTCTTCAGAGTCATTTTTCTAAAAAAAATTTACGACAATTTTACTCGTGAAAATTGCATTCTCGGACGTTATTTAAATGGTGCTTTAACTGGTTCCCATTTCACCTTTTTACAGATCACATCAGAAGAAGTAGTGAAGGCGTATATAGATCGATGTAAGGAGGTCAATCCTTATTTGAATGCTATTGTTGAACCTAGATACGACTTTGCGATTAAAGAAGCAAAATGTATAGATAAAATGATCGCTTCTAATGATCGGACACCTGAAGACCTGGCCAAAGAATACCCTCTACTTGGCATTCCCATTACTGTCAAAGAAAGTATAGCAGTTGAAGGTAAATAATACTTATAAAAGAAAAACTTTCAACCTTTTACCCCCTTATAGGTAAACATGCGTTATCATTACTATTATTTTTTTACTATTATATATTTAGAGCTTCTTATTAAAAAAATTATTTATTGCTATTTAATAATTGCTAATACTTTGTATATTTGTAGGTATGAGCAACGACAGCGGTACAGTTTTCCCATTTAGAAATCCAGCTAAAAAAGACGCGGACATAGTTCGTAGAGCTAGAGCGGCCGGAGCAATTCCTATAGCAGTAACAAATACACCACAGCTTTGTATGAATTGGGAAACATATAACAATGTTACTGGACTGACTATGAATCCCTACGATCAGAGGCGGACCACCGGTGGCTCTTCAGGAGGAGAGGTACGACTAAAACCACCTGTTCATCTACAAACCCTAATTCATGTTCGCGTCTTCACTTGCTTTTATTAATGAGCAGACGGACACCTTTTTACCCTATTAGAACTCAAACAAAATAATTATAATATAAGGTAAGTATATAAAAGGATACGTCCATTGTAATGATTTTTTCTCTTTGTACTTACACTCATAGCTAAAGTTTGATGTTCTAATAGACATAATCAGATTTTCTAATATATTATATGAGAAAAACGAAAATGTTGTACATAATATATTTTTTCTTCGCTTTCGACCTAACCATTGTACACTTGCATTGGTTTCCTGTTTGGCCCCACACCACGTTTTCATCTTACCCTGACCACAGGTGACAAAATACTATACTAGTATCCTGACACACATCTGTAGAATCAATCTTTCCCAAAAGCGAAACGATTCCAAAAACATATAATCTTAAATTTATTAAGGATCTTGCAGATATATTTTGATATAACTACAAATGTAATATAATCAAATATATACCAATAAATATACTAATACAATTAATTTAATATTTTAGTCGGCATTAATAGCATCTGCAGCTTCAATAATGGGACTGGGTTCAGATATAGCGGGCTCATTGCGTTTACCCCCCATGTTCAACGGGATATTCGGTCACAAGCCATCTCCGAAACTACTGTCTATTGAAGGTAAAGTTTTACAAAGTTATATAAGAACTGGCAGTACCCGCGGCTTCGCCCGCGTCGAAACTTCCGATCGCTAGCAAAATTCACAGGATCACCCGCTGGGCTAATCTGAAGATTACCTGAAAATTTCATCAAAATCACTCTAGCTGTTTTGGAGTCCATAGGAAACATACATACACACGTCGATTTTAATTTTATTTAATCAACAATTTATATTTATTTATTGATCGCAAAATGGAGTCTTTTATGAAAATTTAGTGACGCACGGACTGCAGCGCCACCTACTGGATCCATTTGTGAATTCAAACCTTGCAGGGACCCACTCGAACATACACAAAAATATTATTAAAATCGTCCCTGCCGCTGAGGAGATGATTAGTGGCACACCGACTGCAGCGCCACCTACTGGGTCCAATTGTGTTTTCAAACCATCCAGGAGACACAAAATTTCATCTAAATCGGTCCAGCCCTTTAGGAGGAGTAGGTTAACAAACACACGTACAAAGGAATTATATATATTAAGATAACACGAATAGTAATCTTTATATATATAATTCTTCTGTGAGTGTGTATGTCACTGAACTTCTCTCAAACGACTGGACCGATTTTGATGAAATTTTTTGTGTGTGTTCAAGGGGATCTGGGAATGGTTTAGATTCACAATTTGAACAATAATTTTCATCAAAAAAATTATTAAAAAAAGTTTGAAATTTTCAAATTAAAGACGTGTAGACAGGACAACGTCTGTCGGGTCCGCTAGTGTGAATATAAGAGTGGCACGAGTAGTTATTACACGAGTAGTACCTACGAGTAAATTATTCAAAAAAACATTATAATAACTGTCATGAATTAAACTAGGTACTCAATAAATTTCAACCTTTTTATGTTATTTGATGTCAAGTTATTTAATTATTATTTCTCGCTGTTGATTAATAGAAATATGTAAAGATTTTTTTCCATCACATCTCAGTTTCCAGATAAAGATCTAAGTAAAAAATCACGTCTTTCTTATAAGCCCTGACTTTTATTACAGTTTTAATTAAATTGTAATAATTTTTTTATGAGCTAGCTTTCCTCTTTTAATCAGATTTAGAGGTATTTCTGACAGAACTCCTACTGTAATCTACGAGCATAGTAAGATTCCATGTTCCTTGGTCATGACACTAAATATAAAGATATATTTTTAAAGGTACTATCAATCAATTACCCGCCAGTCTAGGATCATCCTTCTCTCTATCGACATTACATATCTATTCTAATCGAATATATTTAAACGAGAAATTCTTGTATATTTATTTATACCGGCGGTCTCGAAAACGGTTTTCGGGGGCAAAAAATCGATCTAGATTAGCCTTGTTTGTGTCTGGGAAAACGCGTGTTTTCTAGTTTTCATGCGGTTTTCTTTCGCATTATTCCACGCAAAATATGGTCGCTAATTTCGCACGCTCGGGCATGAGCATCGTGGTCAAGCGGCCAAAGCACAAGATTCACAATCACAGGCGTCCGGGTTCGAGTCCTGATCAGATACCAAGTGTTTTTTTTTTTGTATTCATTTAAGTTTTTAGTTTTTAAGCCAAATTAAAGAGAAAATTCTACTTTCGTCCAAAAACTAGGTTATCATCTAAAAAATACGATATAACAAAGAAGAACGCCGAGCGAAGTTCGGTCACCCAGGTACTCAAGGATATAATATAGCAACGATCGAACGTACACGATTTAAAAATAGTAATTTCTCTTATATAATAATTATACTACTTGTAATTAATTGCTTTGTACCTACATCTGATTATAATATTATTAGCGACAACGTAGTTAGGTACGCAACATTATAAGATGACTAATTATTTTTTTAAATTATAAAAAAAACTATACGGGAACTTAAGTTTCCTCGCAGAAGCAAAACGTTAAATATTTGATCCAGAAATTAGAAATACTAGTTATAACTTATATGTTATATTTTAATTGCAGGTCATGTGCCGGATTGTTTAGATCCTGAATTTGAGGAGTACTTTGCACTCGGTCCTATTACGAGGTATGCTGAGGATTTGCCTTTATTGTTAAATGTTTTAAAGCAACCCTCCGCGCCTGATGTACCTCTGAGCAAACCGGTAAGATTGAATAAACTAGGTATCAATTCTCAAACTCTTTTGTATTTTCACTTTTCACATCCTTTCATATTTGCACACGATATGCACGAAATCTATTGACATACCCGTTATTTAATCCCAGTTTTTTAAAATACCAGTTCTCATGAGATGAGTCATGGCCTTGATACATACATACTTGTATGGCATGAACGAATTGTGGCTAATTCGTCAACCCCTTACTCTGTGAAAAACAAAAAACAAATCTATCCCACGGGAACCGTAAATTTTTCCGAAATAAAAAGTAACCTACGTTATGTATTATACCAGACAAAATCTATCTCTGTGCCAAATTTCATCCAGATCCATCAGCCGTTCTGGCGTGAAAGAGTAACAAACATCCATACTCACAAACATTCACATTATAATATTTATACAGATTAGTACGATAATATTAGCACGATTATATTTTCTCCAGGTGGACCTAACTCGTTTGAAGTTTTATTATATGGAGGATGATGGAAGTAATGTTACCGATAAAATTGGACCAGATGTGAAAAAGGCTTTGGAGAAAGCAAAACTTTATATTAAGTCCACATATAATGTAGACGTTCAAGAAGTGAGTATACTTTACTTGAAATACTACTAATAAAAATAATCAAAATCAATGTCTTTTTTAAATAATATATAATAAATTTGCAAATTAAATTATTTAGAACTCAATAAATCAACTATAGATTTTGAGGTAATTTGTTAACATGTTGTTTAGCAAATCTAAGAAAAGCTTTTTTAAAACCAATGGTTTAATGTATTTCAGCTAAAAATAGCGAATATAGAGCACATGTGGGAAATAAGCGTACGCGTTCTCTTCAACGTACAGCATGTAGGGAATATATACACGGACCCCAAAAAACGAGATCAATGGGTTTCAGTTTGGCCTGAAGTTGTTAAAAAGATGATGGGACTATCAAACCACTCATTTACCGCAGTCGCTTATGGACCAGCGAAGAAGTTTTTCGATGCATTGCCAAAGAATTATTACAATAAACTGCTTACTGTGTTTGAGGGAATTAAAACTGATATTGGTGTAAGTGTATGATGAATACTTAAGAGATAATCTTAAATCTTAAATAAGTAATAATTTAGTGATTATAATCTGTGAAATGCAAAAAATCTATGAAAATTTAGAAAGCCACGCTTACTTTACGTTTTTAATAGTACTAATTAATTTGTTGTTCTTATTTTCCAGGAAGCATTATCAGATGATGCAGTATTATTGTTCCCGACTTTCCCATATACAGCACATTTGCATTACAGAATATTTTATAGGTTTTTAAATTTTGGTTATTTAACAATATTTAATGCTTTGGGATTGCCGGCTACCGCGTGTCCTTTAGGACTTACTGACAGCGGTCTTCCTGTGGGCATACAAATCGTAGCTAATAAGGAAAATGATCACTTGAGCATAGCTGTTGCAAAAGAATTTGAGAAAGCTTTTGGAGGATGGACGCCGCCTAATAAAGAATTATTAAACTGTGTTAAAACTGCTTAGTACTTAATTTATATTTTGAAAAAATGTTTTGTATTAAATTTAAACACGAAATACAAAAAAAATGTGAGTATTTTGTTAATATTTTACGCGGAAAAAATAAAGAACTAAATAAAAATAATAATAATTTACTCTAAACAGGTGTAAGTTATTTAGTGTATATGTATGAAGCGCGATAATTTCGCCAATTCGCAAATTTCTTTGTTTTTTCTTAAGTTCTGTCCTTGAAAGTGGAAAAATTATTTTATAAGTGATTTTAATATCGGTTTACCTTTTTCAAATGTATTTCTATACCACTTTCAAACATTTGCTGGACACCGATTTAAATATAGAAAAACTAAGTAATTTCAGTAACAAATTATATAGCGTTATGGAGCTAGTCTGATGACGGATGCAAAAGATTTATAAATGAAATAGTACCTATTTACGAGTATTTCACTATACCAACTATATTATTAAAGATTAATAAAGATCTTATATTCCGGTTAATTTATCTATACAGATAAATAAAATTGAAGCGTCTAGTCTGTTTGTAATGTCAATTAACAGCTTTTTACTAAATGCATTTTTATGAAATCACTAGCATTGCCCGCGGCTCCGCCCGCGTTCAGGTGACCAAAAACAAAATTCTTAGGTTTTACATATTACTACCTATATACTCGTACATTGCAATTTTTGTATTTTTTCTCAGAAATGAGACTTTCCCGCGGTAAAAAGTATCCTAGATGTTGACCCGGATAACCAGCTATCATTATAACAAATTCCATCAAAATGCCTTCAGTGGTTTTTCTGTGATGCGGTAACAGACAGACAGACAAAAATTCTAAAAACTATAAATTCGGCCTCTGTATCGATAATAATGTTTATTTCAACAAGATTTACCAAAAAGTATTTAATGTACAGATTCGGCTTAGTTACAATTTTATTTTGTATAGATGTAGGGTACATTTTTTAATTGTTTTGTACGTCTGTCTGTTTGTTCCGACTAATCTCCGAAACAGCTGAACTGATTTTCACTGGCAGATAGCTGCTATTATAAGGTGTAACTTAGGATTCTTTTATTTAAAAAAAAAGAGTTAGGGTTCTGCTCAAAAAAAAATCGTACCCAAGAAAAGCGAGGGTAAGTCGCTAGTCCTGTAATATAAATATTATAAATGCGAAAGTTTGAATAGATGGATGTTTGTTGTTCAATCACGCCAGAACGGTTGAACAGATCAGGATGAAAGGCACAGAGATAGACTATAGTCTGGATGATGTACCTACTATAAATAGGTTACTTTTTATCCCGGAAAAAATTACGGTTCCTATGAAATAGATTTCTTTTATTTTTCACAGAGCAAGGGGTCGACTATCCATTTATATTCCACACTAATCGTTAAAACGTCGCTAGTTAAAATAATAAATTAAAAATAATTGTTCAATATTTCTGATTCGTTTAATATTTATTAAACACATTTTATACCAGAACGTACCTACATATATTTATACTTTTTTAGATTTTGTAGTCACACGTCTATATGGTATGTATGTACTTTGACCATAACTCTATTTTATCATAAGAGTGAGCTAGACATGCTTCAGTATTTAGATGTCATAGGTCAATGTTAGAGTTCTGATAAACTCCTAATGACTTAAGCTAGTATTCAAAAGTAATAGTATTTTATAAACTGCTGCAAACGTACGTGTGTGAACTGCCCAAAACCAACAATATTTTGTTTTTTGACTTTCAACAATACGAATAATGCAAGGATAATCTTGGTCTAGGCCAACATGCGACATTATGGGTGTTACCAGTAACAGCAGTGACTACCTTGGTCACACTTTTAGAGCTTCTTCGAAACAGACACTATTACCTAAATCCTCTGACGTATTATGTTACATATATAACAGCATTTACATTACAAGGTTTCCCAGTCAGAAACATCAAGAATGGCAATAAAGAAGCAACGTCTATAATGTGTCTCTTACATTTATTTTTTTATTACTGTCGAAAAACAATTAAATTAGTTTAAATTGTCTCGAAAATATTGAGGCACAATCATCAAAACATAATTAGGTATGTTTTTTTTTGTCGTTTTGTATTTAGGCTTGATATTTCAAAAAAGTATTTACGAGTGATTTTTTTGGATTTAAGTCGCTTTCTGAAGGTAAGTTTTATTTAATGTTTATGATTCCTCATTAGTATCTTCGGGTAATCCCCGTCGCCCCGAGACTAGAAAAGACAATAATTGGTTAGTAGTAATCAGGAATACTAAGTCATAATTAACAGCAATATTATATATTAAATTTTTACCTATATTTATTTAAAAAAAACTATAATATTTTTACGACCGTATGAAATATACCTAGAACAGTGCGTAATTGTAACAGCCATGAGCCGCGTTTACTCATATTTAAACTGGCAAATAATATTAGCGCTTTAAACTAAGTATTTCTAAACTTTAAATACTGAAAATAACATACGTTATTACATTAAAGATATACCTATATAATAAACTGGCGACTCGCCCTCGCTTCGTTCGGGTTCGTCCCTAGCTTGCTTCCACATACAAACTTTAATCCCCATTTGCACCCTCTTAAGGGATAATTTCCGGGATAAAAAGTATCCAATGTACTTCCCAGGGTCCCAAACTACCTTCTTACCAAATTTCATCTAAATCGGTTTAGTACTCGTAGATCTAGAGATTACCCCCTACAACGTCACAAACTCACAATTCACAAACTCATAAACTTTATATCTTTATAATATTAGTATAGATAGATTGACGTATTATATTTGGAAAAAACCATCTTATAGAATTTCTATCATTCATCAATTAGAAATATCACTCAATAGGTGACAACGCGGTCGCGGTTCCATATCTACCCATTTGTCCAAATTATATGCAGTAAAAGGGAAAAGTTTTTTGTTTTAAATATTTTAGACGATAAATTTACTTATTTTGATAATAATTCATAATTGTTGATAATATAACCAATAAACATGACCTACCGATTTAAATTATTTTTAATATAAAAAACTACTTTTTTTGACTTAAATATAAAAGTTAGACATAATATGTTGTCGCAGATTTTTTGTGGGCATTATTAAGCTCTACAACTTTTCTCTAGAACATAATCATATATCTCTCGTCGTTCAGGCAGCGTTGGTAAGAAACGTTTTCGTTCGACCGTTTTTTCTCCGACTTACTTTGCAAATCCGACTACCATAAAAAAGTCTTTTCATTCTTAGGGTATGACAGCCTATGACACTCAGAAAGAACGTGGTTTTCTATTGGTAAAAGAATTTTGAAAATCGGTCCAGTAGATCCAGAGATTACCCCCTACAACATCACAAACTCACAAACTTTACCTCTTTATAATATTAGCTTAGATACATTTTAAACATGTTACAGACATTTAATTAATATCACTTTTCTAAATTAGTATATATGTACTTAAAAAATCACATTAATTTTTCATTAAGTTTAGCAAATTTTATAACATCGTATTCATTTTATATTTTAAATAAAAATTATTTCGACAAACATGTACTTATAAAGTTGAAAGAAAACGAGTTGTACTTATTATTACGAGCAAAAAAAATTAAAATTTTAGTAATAATTTTCAAGATTTGTATTAAATTTAAATATTTGTATTCGCTTACATACAAACATTTACTTGTATTTTATAGTATCTTTAAACGCAAATATCGATAAAAAATGTCCTGTAAGTATTTAGTAGCCGTAAGCACGAACGCCAGTATTTGTTGAATAACCAGTCCACAGATAAAAAATATCTTTTTAATCTATGTAACGTCAACATATGACATTGTATAATCTATACATATAATAAAATTATAACTAAGTTGAATCTGTACATTAAATATTTTTTGGAAAATCTTATTGAAATAGTCATTATTATCAATACAGAGGCCGAATCTATACTTTTAGAATTTTTATCTGCCTGTGACTGCATCACGAGAAAACCACTGGACAAATTTTGATGAAATTTGGTATGATGATAGTTGATTATCCAGGTCAATATGTACCCAGCCCTTATGTTAATAAGGACCCACAATAATGTCCCGTGTAACGAGCCCGAGCGGAGCGAGCGTGAGTCGCTAGTTTTTTTTTATATAATTAAAGCCGGCTACATATTACAAAATATTTTCTGTCAGAAAATATCTGACGCCCGCCGGAAGGCACTCTGCTCATATGTTTTGGTCTAGACCCCGCATATTATCAGAATTCTGACATGTTCGACGTCCGCTTCTGATGAGTTCCGGATGTAATCGATCGGACGTCAGAATTTTTCTGATCAGAATGTCGTAGGGCGCGCTCTCTATACATTTTGTACTATATACCGCACACTCGTCAGAAATTCGCATCAGAATTCAGATGTCGAACGGACGCCATGAACTAAACTCATTATCAGACTCGCTGAAGCTATGTTTCTGATGGGTGTGCGGGATAGTACCAGCGGTCATCAGAAATTTTCTGACAGAAAAAATCTTATATTAAGCGGCCAGTTTAAAGTTGATTATGTACCTACTACATATAATTTAAAATAATTTAATTTACATTATACAAATATATATCTATACGTAGATCTTATATATATAAGATGCATTCATATATTAAGATCCAAATTAAATATCATATAGTAAATTTTGATCAATTAATTATTAGTCTCATGATTTATGAATGAAATCGAGTTAAAGTTAGAAGGGGAGTTGGTCGAGATTGAATGACAATTGGGCGCATTGACAGATGACTGTCATAGAATTTGATGAGCATGAAAATTATAAATCCTATTTTTATATTCGATTATAGAATTCCATCCGAAACAATTAAAAAATTTTCCCCAACTTTTCTACAGCTTGATCGAATTACGTTTCACTATTTTTTATTTGCTTATACTGGCACGACGCACGCGCAGTAGATACTTCGCCTAAAATCTCCCAGCGCCATATTGAGAGAGGCGGACGTTGTATGACTCGAGTGAATAAAGTCGTGGTTAGTGCAATAATTTGAAGTGAAAGATTTGATCTTGCCCTATGGATATATACTCGGGTACGTAACGCGAAAGTATATACCTTTAAAGAGTGTTTTAAATCAAACAGTGAGCCAAGGTAAATCGCATCGTAACCTAGACATAGGCCGTTCTAGTTATCAGTAGATCGCCTAGGTATCATCAATTCGCTGTTTGCTCACAGTATTAATTATATTATTACACACGTGCGGGAAGTAGTCATAGGTTTCTTGAATCTAGTTATATTAATGGGATTATACGATCGCTGCACAAGGTTCGACGCTCGTATATAAACGGATTTCGAAGTGTTTATGTCGGCAGTTGACAGAAGCGTATATGTATATGACTGATCATAAGTCACCACACCCAGTGACCGGATTGTCGGTTTTAGGATTTATTAGATTTTAGATCGGATGATTGTTCACGTGCTGTCTAGTCGGTGTGTGGTTTTGTGATCGTTGTGGCGGACAATATTTGTGATGCAGTGAGTGTAACGATATATCATTTCTAGGAGTGGTGTGCCTCGGTTGATAGGCCTGCCGAAAGGACAGGGATCCGCGCGCGAGGACGGTCTGAGGCCCTCCGCCCTGAAGAAACATGGAGTGCTGCATGTCAGAAGAAGCAAAGGAACAAAAAAGAATCAATCAAGAAATAGAGCGGCAACTCCGAAAGGATAAGCGCGATGCCAGAAGAGAGCTCAAATTGCTCTTGCTTGGTAAATATTATTGAATATTTTTTAACATCCCCTTCACCTATTTTAACAGTCGTATTTTTTTTAAATCTTAGTTTGACGACAATGACAATATTTTATAACCATCAACAACTATAAAAACTAATCAACCATATTTAGACAACTACATTTATAAAGCTGATTTTTTACAAAATTTACATAACAATCATTATCTAATTCAGCAAGTAAAATTTATAATCTTAAAGAAATCTTTATTTCTTACAGTTTAATAATTATCTAACTAAAAAGAAATACAATGACTATTGTTCACTTCAAATTAACAGATAATGTTACTACTGTAATCATCAGTATAAAATTGTAATTACTATAAAAATTATATTTAAAATATTCCTGATATTAAACTAGTATTTCTGATAAGAATTTATTATTTTACTTTTGAATAGTAAAGTAGATAGATACAGATTTCAACTAAAATATTTTTTGTAATTAATGTATCACTTTCTTTAAAAATAGTCAAAATCCTAAAGTAAATATTTTTTAAATTTTAATACCTTTATAGGCAACTAATAAAATCCTAGTGTTAGATACACCATAATATTATAAAAATATAACCAATATAACCTTGACTCTAAACAATCAAAACACATTCATTTATGTACACTAAACTATTTTATTAATTAATCTTTTTTATTTCATTTATCTGGTGCATTTACCTTTGTTCTCTTTAAATAAAAAGGTTAAATTTATTGCATTTTATAGGCTTACACCTATCTATTGTCATTTCATCTAGGTCATTATTTTCTTAAAACAACTACGTACAAATAACCAATAAATTGGTATTTCTATTTTGATTTAACCAAAACCTATTGAGATGGTTTATATTCCTAAGGTAGTTAAGAGGACATAATTTTTTTTATAAAAAGTGAAAATTGCAGTGTAGAGTTTGATTTTTTATATAAACTGATATGAATAATAGTTAATATTACATTTATAACTATAACCTGTACAATATTTTTAAAAGATTGTAATACTAGAAATAATTATTCCCAATAAGCAGTTTTCTCATGATAGTGGTTTCATATTTTTATAAATAATTTGAAAATATCTAAAGAGTATTGTGTTAATTTTTATTTGACATAGCAATTAGTCTTCTAAACTGCTCACAAACAAGACACTTTTTTAAAAACTGAACCTTAACAAAATTAAATAATTCTATTTTTGTACTTATTTAGATAGGTGTTTAGTTTTCAACACAACTATTTTCTTTCAGTCATATTCTGTCATTTTGTTATGTATATTTGTTGAAAAAAGTAAAGAACTTAAAGGTAAAAATAACTTATTTTTGAAATCTTATTAACTGCTTCAAAATATGACTAACACTGTAAATTGTGACATGAAATATTCATGAAATATTAGCTGTTGCAATGCATTTTTATCCCGTGAACTCTATTTGCTCTAACTCTACAAGTATATTATGCACCTTTATATACAAAAAAATCATTTGAGTTGTACTATAACTTTCATAATATTTTTTTTAATTCTTTGAGAACTAACTAAAAAAATTATAAAATTACAAATAGATGCTTTACAAGGATATTTATTGAGAGAGAAATAAAAGTCTTAGTGGTAATTTTTTTTTATTATTACATAATATGATAAACTTAAATATTAATGATCTAGTATCTTGAAATGAATATTAAAATTATTATAAGTTAAAACACATAAAACGAAATATAAATGTTGCAATATTATTTTTTATTTAATTAGGTGTTTTTGAGTGATTTCCTGTATTAGATAAATGTAAAGCCAAATGATGAACTGATTTATCTATACTAATATTATAAAGAGGTAAAGTTTGCGAGTAAAAATAATCTCCTTATACCATATTATTGCTTTGCCCTAAAAATACAAAATTTAGATTTATTTATACATAATTGGTTCCTGTATATTACATACCATTAGTCCATTACATCATTTATATTTTTACTATAGATGTTTAGTAGGTATAGATTTCTCAGAAATGGGATATTTTCCCGCAGTAAAAAGTATCCTATATGTTGACCAGGATAACCAGCTTTCATCGTACCAAATTCCATCAAAATCTATCCAATGGTTTTCCCGTGATGCGGTAACAGATAGACAAAAATTCTAAAAACCATACATTCGGCCCCTGTATCGATAATAATCTCCATTTTAATAAGATTTAAAAAAAAAATAATGTACAGATTCGGCTTAGTTAGAATTTTATTATATGTGTAGATAATTTATATCAATTAAAGATTGTGTTTGGTAAGATAAGTTTACTTAGGGCAGTAATCTACAATAAAAGTACAATTTGCATTTCAGTAAATAATCTACATGCATATAAATCTATATGTATTTTGTTATATTTTATCTTATTACTTATGAGCTTGGTTACCATATTCTCAGTAGTATTTTTTTGTATAATAATGATTGTATCATGCTAAAATATTATAGTAGTAGTATATATAGGTATAATAAATGTGAATATCTAATTCTTATCATATGAACACATCTTAAGCCTATTTTTTTATTTTTATCATTTTTTTATTTTATTTATTATTAAAACACATTTTATCATCATATATGATAATATTAAATATAATGTTTTTTAGGCTCAACGTAAAATTAATAGCATTTTTATGTCAAGCTGCGAAACTAATTAACCGACTTCCAAAAAGGAGGAGGTTCTATGTTCGTCTGTACATCGATTACTCGAAGACGAGTAAACCGATTTGCAAAATTATTGTTTTTGTTTCAAACGGTATAAGTTGCCAGGTGGTCCCATTTAAATTTTATCGAAATCGGTGGAGCGGTTGTTTTAAAAATCAACAATAAATTATTTTTAAATAAATGGCATAATCGAATATGTTATTTAAAACTTTCTTCTTACAAATTACCTGCTTATTACGTCTACACTAAAAATGGGAACATAAAAACAAAAAAAAAACGACTTTCAGGTACTAAAAAGTAAAAAATAGCTAACCGGGGTTTTAATTCTAATCAAATATTTTGGAAGTCGGTGCTAGCCGATACAAATCAAAGCACACTGATCCATTTGAATTAGTGAGTTCATAAGTCTTAATGCTAAGTGAAGCTAAGATTCTTTCCAATATAACTTTTTTATTACTAAAATCTAATAAGAATACCAATAGTAACTTTTTACAATTCAAACCAAAAATTTGGCATCCATATCAGCATTCAAATTTTTTTATAATTTAAATGCAGACAACACTGAATTCTCTCACCCTCTTCACTAATTCTCATCTTTAGTCTAATATCAAAATGGTGTGATGAGTCGCAATATCCAACACTGTTCTTTATCAATTTGACCTAAGGAACCTGTATGGTCGAAACAAAATTTTGTCCATATGAAAGTCAAAATCGTGACCTCTAATTAATATTAAGAGGTCGATTTGACACACTCGGCATTACTATGATTTTTTACCTACATATCAGGCTCGGCACTACTAGGTATCTATACTAATACATATTATAAAGAGGTAAAATTTGTGAAGTTGTGACGCTGTAGGGGTAATCTCTGGATCTACTGAACCGATTTAGATGAAATTTGGTAAGAAGATAGTTTGAAACCCTGGGAAGGACATAGAACACTTTTTATCCCGGAGATCATCCCTTAAGGGGGATGAAAGTTTGTATTGGGAAGCAAGCTAAGCTCGCTAGTTTAAATAAGAAAGTTTATAATATTATATGTGTATGTATGTTGCTCTTCACGTTGCAATGGCTGGACGGTTTTGGATGAAATTTAGTACAAATATAGATTATTACCTGGAGTAACACATAAACTACTGTTATTAATAACATTTACACCTAGGGACGCAAACTAGCGAAGCGAATGTAAATCGGTAATGTTTTATATATTTTCTAACAATACCCAAATAAGTAGTATTTTCTTCTTCTTCCAAGGCACTGGTGAGTCCGGCAAATCAACATTCATCAAACAGATGAGAATCATTCACGGGTCGGGTTACAGCGACGAGGACAAACGTGGCTTCATCAAGCTGGTCTACCAAAACATCTTCATGGCAATGCAGAGTATGATACGAGCTATGGATCTACTCAAAATACAATACGGAAATCCGTCCAATGCGGTAAATATGATATATTTTCATATAATGTTTATGTAAAATGTTGCAATTAGTTTACATATGTATGGGGATAACTCTATAAAAATTCTGACTAACAAAAGCATCTAAGCTGTAAAGAATTTGTTTTAGACTTCTAATACCTTGCACATCAAATACTACAATATAGAGTAAATAACATCTTTATATGAAAAAGTGGCAGATTTTTTAAATGATTTAGTTTGGTGAATCTTAATGACCTGTCTATCTGTGGTACTCGTTACAAGAGATTCGAATTTGATATAATTTGTAAAGAGCTTATGTCAAATGTGTAACAGTAAGGAAAACCACTAATAAATCGCTGTTAATCGATAATTTAAACAAATTATATATTTGTTTTTAAATTATATTTTTTTATATGTATATGTTAAAAGTTCTTGGTAAAGCAAGTGAACATCAGAAAAGTCTAAATGAACGTCAGATTTTGTAGTTACGAAGACTAATTTTTAATCAAGTGGACTGATTTCTATCACGCATAATATATAATATGTAATATATGTATACATTTATTATTAAGACAAATTTAATGACAATATAATAAAATCCTATCAAGTTTCAAGACTTCAAAGACAGACATACCTATATATACACAGGCTACTCTAAAGCATCTAGGGATGCACCCGAGTAAAGCGAGAATAAGTCGATAGTAATCCATGTGTATTTTTTAAGTTTAGCAAAACGCATGAGCTTCATAAAATGCGGATTGCACAGGCCCTAATATTAGCACCCTTTGTAATCTTTTTCCAGTGTCTTATATTATATAGTGAACTAGCATTGCCCGCGACTCCGCCCGCGTTCAGATGAACAAAAAACAAATTTATAGTATTTACATATTAGTATCTCTTACATTGCAGTTTTTGTATTTTTTCTCAGAAATGAGATATTTTCCCGCGGTAAAAAATATCCTATATGTTGACCCGGATAACCAGCTATCACCATACCAAATTTCATCAAAATCCCTCCAGTGGTTTTTCTGTGATGCGGTAACAGACAGACAGACAAAAATTTTAAAAACTATAGATTCGGCCTCTGTATCGATAATAATGTTTATTTCAATAAGATTTTCCAAAAAATATTTAATGTACAGATTCGGCATAGTTACAATTTTATTATATGTATATATAGTAAATAGTACTATTGTTTCATTGCATAGACTATGCAAGTATTGATATAATTATAAAATCTAGTTTCTCCTGTTAAAAAATATAATATTACATATAAAATACATACGTACGTAAAAACGCAAAACTATGAATGCAAACAAACTATTTCATATATTAATAACACAAACCGGAATAACTAAATCATTTTAGTATATTAGGATAATACAAGAGATAACTTTAAATTTTTACAGGAAAAGGCGGAGTTGATATCATCAATCGACTATGAGAGCGTTACAACGTTCGAAAGTCCGTATGTCGAAGCTATAAAGGCTCTATGGGCAGACGCTGGCATACAGGAGTGCTATGACCGCAGGCGAGAGTATCAGCTAACTGATTCTGCCAAATAGTAAGTTTATTATTGTGCAATAGAATTACACTTTAAAAATTCTAATTATATTTATAGTATGTCTGTATAAACTAAATTTAACTTATTGCTCAGTGTATTGTTCATGGCATCACGTGTAAACCCGGAAAATACAGGAATTCGTCACGTGATATCTATATATGCTATATTAGTAATAATAATAATAAAAGACAGTGGTAGCCCAGTGGTAACGCACTCCCTTGGGAAACCGAGTGAAGTGGGTTCAAATCCTGGATCTCGCACCTCTGATATTTTCATGTGCGAATCATTCGTAACATGATTACCACTTGTCTTTCGGTGAAATAAATCATCGTGAGGAAATCTGCATGTCTAAGAGAACCTAGCAAAGGTTCGAAAGACATATGAAGTCCACCAATCCGCACTTGACCAGCGTGGTGGACTATGGCCTGATCCCATTCGTATTGAAGGGAGGCCCATGCCCAGCAGTGGGATGTTAAAAAAAGGGCTGAATACATATATTAGTAAACTACTTAATATATGGCTTGAATACAACAAAAAATAATACTTACATGTATGATTACAGCATTCGATAAATATCTTGGGAATTAAATGAAAGTAATTGTTGTAAAATAACATTAACCTTAATAAATGGATTAGATCACGATTACAATAACTGTTTACATGTTGACTGTTGACTGGGGAAATTATTGAGTCATAATTTTGTTTTGTATAATAGCAAATATACTAATATTATAAAGAGGTAAAGTTTGTGAGTTTGTGACGTTGTAGGGGGTAATCTCTGGATCTACTGAACCGATTTAAATGAAATTTGGTAAGAAGATAGTTTGAGACCCTGGGAAGGACATAGGATACTTTTAATCCCGGAAATCATCTCGTAAGGTGGTGAAAATGGGGATGAAATTTTGTATTGGCAAGCTAGGGACGAACCCGAGCGAAACGAGTGTGAGTCGCTACTTTTATATAATAGCAAATTGATTATACAATTGAATGCATAATTGTATTAGTAGAAGTTTCTAATTATATCGTTCTATCAACTTAGTTCAATATGTGAATCAAATCTTCAACTTAGTGTTTTGTTTCCTCGAATTCGAAACGTCGGGTACAAACGCTCAAAAGAAAACAAAAAGTCAAAATCCAAAAAGATAATTTTATATTCAATTAAATCTAAGAAAGTCTTATGTGTACCATAACCTTTAGGCCTCATTCTGCCATCATAGTTTTTGTACTACAGTAAAAATAATATGATAGATGAAGAAAAGTTAACATAGAACAATTTCCCATAGCTATTTGCAGGAGATAGACCGCGTTGCGGCACCAAATTACTTACCAACTGAACAAGACATACTACGCGTGAGAGTTCCCACAACTGGTATCATTGAATATCCATTTGACCTGGAAGAGATAAGATTTAGGTAAAATATCGAAATGTGTAAAAAATCGCATGCTTCGCCTAAATGCATGTTTCTGTGGCAATTTTGCATGTTTCTCTTGACATGTGCGTTTTATATGGGATAAGTTTTGTGTTTAGTATTTATTTGCAGGTTTATCATATTAGGTGTTATGACGTTATTATCTTGCTGTTACTATTCTTTATAAATGTTATTTTTTAACCATGTTTATGTGAACCATAACGGATTTTTCCGTTTTTCTATTTATTAACTTTATGTGCTGTGTCTTTCTTTGCTTAACAAAATAAGGTGCAAATTATTTTTTTCATACATTTATCATACTCCTGTTCTATATATTGTATAATGGCTCACCGCAAATAATGTTGTCGTGGTCAAATTACCTTCAGATCGAGTCGAGAGGTCACGTATCTTCGAACGATATTCTATTTCATTATGAATATGTGATTTAACTTAAGCATATTCACAATTTTACAATCATTTAAGAAATAATTTGTACCTTAAAATTTAAATACTTTCAAAATAAATTTCGTACGCACACATTAGTATAAAGCATGAATTTCCAGTTATTTAAGTGATTTGGCAAGAATTGAGAGTGACGGTTATCTACCAACTGAGCAAGATATCCTCCGCGCTCGACAACCCACTACCGGCATACTTGAATATCCTTTCGATTTAGATGGAATCATATTTAGGTACGAACAAACAGGTTCGTAGTAAAGCTAGACCCTTTCACAGAGTGGATATTACAAAAATCACTACACTAATGCCCCTTTGATTATTTAAAACTAGTGCCACGTTTTCCAGCATAATAACATCCCACGGTAAAGGTGTATTGTGCCGAGTTAAAGTACCCTATTTATAGCACTCTCAATAAACTATGTATGGCATTTCTTAGTTGCTGTGTAAAAAAATAACAAAAAAAACTTTTTAATCTTATACTAATATTATAAAGGGAAAGTTTTGATTTTTTTGTTTGTTTGTACCGAATAGGCTCCGAAGCTACTGAAGCGATTTATATGAAATTTGGTAGGTAAGAAGATAGTTTGAGGCCCTGGGAATGGCATAGGATAGTTTTTATCCCGGAATTCATCCCTTAAGTGGTTGAAAATGGGGATGTAAATTTGTGTGGGAAATTAACCTAGGGAAGAACCCAAGCGAAACGAGGGTGAGTCGCTAGTCATAAATATTTTCATGATAATCGTAATTCATAATATTAAATGTAACTCTATGGCATAGTTTTTTTAATAGTGCACATGCCAGCTATTGGGTGTTCGAATTAATTTTCTGGCCTCACTTGTTTCTTTTTGTTCACTGTCGAGGTTCTATACAATTTAAATCGTTATTAACCATAATATTAACCCTATTATAATACTATAGTTGGACTCTCACTTCACTAGTGTGTTCTCACATGTTGTCAAATTTTATTGCTAACAGTATGTAACTCCTATATATGTCCTAAATTTCATCTAACTCCGTGGAAAAACGAAAGAAGTAACAAACATACTAACTTTCGCTTTTCTTTTAGTTGTGATATGTATAGTAATACTAGTTTTTTTTTTATTCTGTATTACCATTAATACAACAGTATATAATAGACGATATATATTAAATAAAACGAGAAAAATATGGCACTGATATTCCCCAAACATCCTCCTATGTAAGACTCGATGTGGTAGAATAATAGAAAGTAGAAACTAATATTTAATTAATTGGATGTGGTATAATAATGTATTTTTTTTATAAAGAGTAAATTATTAAGCTTTTTTAATATATTGTCTCCGCTTAAGCTTTTTCATTTATGTTGCTTTATGGATAGTTCTAACGCTATAACATGTGTGTATAATGCATCGTACCAACTTCAACAAGTGTTTAACCATTATAATTTAACTTTAACTATTATATGAAAATGTCATTTTTATAGTACAAATGTACTTGGTATTTTAAATTCGTATAGTATCTAATCTTACTATTCTATCAATCATTAATATCAATACTATCAAACTTGTGAAACATGATATGGAATTGCTCACATGCTATATGTATGTTAATATAAATAAATACATATGTTAGAACTAGCACTAGCACACAGCACACAGCACCGTCTAGTTTCATGGTAAGCTACGAGGCTTGTGTTATGGATACCAGATAGTTGCTACAGTACACATATATGTATATATAACTTTAAATACATACATATTATATATATAAACACACATGATTAAAGTACAAACATTCGTGTTTATCACACAAATGAATGCCCCCCAGCGGGACTCGAACCCGCGACCACCTCAGCAAGTAAGGTCACTACAAACTGAGCCAAACGTGTCGTCGACCGTATGTACATACCACCATTCTTTTTATTTACACTAATTACGCAGTTCAAACAAGTCGACTTGGAATATAATTATTTAAGAATTCGTTTTCAAATTCCAATACACGCAAAATCACAAAGACAAAAAATACTTTGAAACTAGTATTAGAATGAAATAAAATAATGTAATATGTAGTAAGAAATATTTTAGTTTTCATAGGGTGCTTAACCTGTATAGCAAGTATGGCTTTTTTTCATATTGGCACATGTAAAATAATAAATGTTATTAATAAATACATATTAAACTGTTGCTCGCAACTATATTTACAAATATTTAAGGTCTTATTACAAATTCCTAAATCTAGTTCATTTAGCTATTTCAATTAGGCGTTTGTGATATCCTCATAGACCACGATAATGGGATCATTTTAAATACATATTTCATTTACGTAACACACCTAAACACAAAATTGTGACGATGCAAGATCGTTCGATTTCTTAAAAAGCACCTTATGTACTAAACCAGAACTTGAAGCCCCTTTGTATCGAGAGAAGAAACAAGTTACAAGCACGTAGTAACACATGTGCATATAATATTAGTAAGATAACAAAAACAAAGCTTTAAGTTGGAGCGTGCTAATAACTAAAATGTAATACATAATTGTTGCTTTACTCACTAACTGTACCTAAAATATTTTTCGACGTCTTTATTATTTAAAACTACTTTAAAATCAAAATAAGCCAAAGTAGACAAAATTAATAAAATACAATATAGACACGAGCTTTCTTGTTCGGCGCTTTTTTGTTTTTAGAAAAGATATAAAATTGCTTTTTGTCAGAAAATACACCTATGTATATAAAGTTAAAAAGAAAAACCTTATCCTAATACAAAATTTGATCGAAATCGCTAGAGCCGTTTCCGAGTACACGAAATAAATTTATACATAAATATACAAGAATTGCTCATTTCATACCTATTATAAGAATAAAAACAGAATCTTCTGACCTTTGGCGTAGTAGGCCAACGCTGTAACCATTCAGGCGGCGGCAGCGGCGGCGAAATTACGAGCCATATTGCGCAGGCCTAGGTTTTTGCGTGAAAATACGAAGAAGACAATTTTCCAAGATATGAGACCAAGCTAGAACGATTTTTCGCCCCCGTAAACCCGCAGATTGCAAATTTCATCAAAATCGCTAGAGCCGTTTTCGTGAACGTGATTACAAGTCGAGTCCTAAATTCTATTGAAATAATCATTATAATCGATATAGAGGTTTGTCTGCTGTTTGTCTATCTGTCTGAGAACGCAGCCCGAAAAAACCACTGGACAGATTTTTGATAGCTTTACATTATACATTATATATATAGAAAGTATACTTTTTACTACGGGAAAATATCTCATCTCTAAGAAATCTATAATACTAAGCGTTAAAACGTAACTAGGGACGAACCCGAGAGGAGCGAGGGGGAGTCGCTAGTATATATATACAAATATTTCTCGTTTAATAGTATAGGATATAATGAATAATATAAAGCTAAATTTCAGCTTTTACATAATTTCATTATAACTTATATGTTAATTAAAAACGTTATACATATTTCATAACTTTATATTTATTTAATAATTCTCTTTGGTAAAGCAATTGGAACAATTAGACATTTTGGTTTTTTCATTGATAATGCGCTTTCATGATTTCATAAGCCCCTGGTCCTACCGTACAAAATCAAGTAATTCAACTGCTGCGAGATTTCTCCGACGACTACTATGTTCGTGTTCCGACATAAAAAAGGATGTTTTGCATATTAGGTAGTTATAATTTACTGAATTAAGAAAAATGTTCCTTTTTGGAAAGATTCAGTAAAAGTGTGAATTTCAAAACCAAAATGGCTGACTACGTTGAATTAATTATAATATTAATGCGTCACTGGCGTATGTTGATGATTTTTATACAAACTACTAGAGACGTCTATGTGTTACTCCATCTCATAGTATGTATATCTGTATATTAAATTTCATCCAAATCCGTCCAGTCGTTTGAGCGTTAAAGAGTAACAAACATACACACACTTTACAATTACAACTTTCACATTTCACAGTCTATATATAAATGCTTCAATAATAATAACCGAATTAAATGATTAAGAATAAAATACTTACCAAAATTGATTTATTCAGACACAATTTTCTCACACGTCTGTTTCCTACAACATTTTACGCATGCCAATTGCCATTATTAAAAAGCAATATTTTTAGTACAATATAAATCACATTTTTACTCAATCTTTCATATACTCTATATTGAATTGAAACTAATAATAAACACATTTTTAAACTTTGGAGTAGGGATTTATCATCAAGATGTTTCAAGGTATTTTCCTTGGTAATGCCCAAAGCTTTGTACACATGCATGTTGTAGCTAGATTAGTTAATAGTTACTGCTTTTTGGTTTTGGTGTATTTATTTATTTTTAATATATAATATTTTTTAATTTATTGGATTTATTATAATAATTCTATATGACATATTATTCACATAATTTATTAAAATTTAAGTATTGTTTGTATGGAACATATTTCATGTTTTAATTTTTTGTGTACTCACATGGGTATTATGAAACAGAATGGTGGATGTCGGGGGGCAGAGATCCGAGAGAAGGAAGTGGATCCACTGTTTCGAAAACGTCACATCTATCATATTCTTAGTAGCTCTTAGTGAATATGATCAAATTTTATTCGAATCGGAAAACGAGGTGAGTCGCTAAATTTATTTCGTAACATTCAACACACTAAATATATTACATATATTTTATTGTATTTTGTTTTATCCTGATGTATCGTCATAAAAAAGACTGAATTCGACTAAATTGAAATCAAAGAGTGAGTAAAATCATCTTTAAATTTTTGTTTGTTCAATAGAGCAGAAACAATGCACGCCTTGTACATTGTAATCTTTTATGTAGCATAGAGTACAAAAATAAGTTGTACAAAAACATTTTTTTTGTCTATATGTTTGATGCAAACTAAAGGAATATTAATTTGTATATTACTTGCAAAATTTATAACTATATGAATTGTCAGTAATTGCAGCTTAACATTGTACTAATTATTACTGGTACAGAGTAGTATCACTTTAACAAGAAACAACATAAATGTCAATTTCATCGACATGGATTGTAATCTCATTAAAAGATTACAAACTAAGCCGCTTAAAAATACCTATAGCTTCATTAAGAATAAAATTATGAGATCTACGTGTTTCATTTACATACGTTTAGTATACACGGTAAATTGTTCAAATATCTATAAAGCATAGCGAAAACTTCTAAAAATAAGAAAATTAAATAACCTCTTTGGTAGTCGTTAATTGAATACTTTTTTACTTCGCTTGTGTGTCCCAAACACTATGTGTTACTCCAAGTCATATCTATGTACTAAATTTCCTCGAAATGGGTCCAGCCGATTCAAAGAGAAGGTGTAACAAACGCGCACACACATACAAACTTTCGCATATGAAGTTTTAGTAGTTTTGAATGTGTAATGGTAAAAATGCTAAATAATACAAACTTTATTTACAGAATCGAATGGAAGAATCAAAGGCGTTGTTTAAGACGATCATCACGTATCCATGGTTCCAGCATTCGTCGGTTATTCTATTTTTGAACAAAAAGGATTTGCTTGAAGAGAAGATCATGTATTCCCATCTCGTAGACTACTTCCCAGAGTATGATGGTACGTGTAGAAATACTTAATTTTTACTAAAAAAGTACGTCGTCTTTAAAACTTTGGTTTTGTCGCTTAAAAGGCCACTCGTGAGGGAAATTAAGAAAACCTATATATAATAAAATAATCATTGGAATCGTTTAAAAATTGTGAATATATTGTTTAAGATTGACAAAGAACACTGAATTGAGTATCTCCAACTTTGAAGTGGCATATTCAGTCAATATTACACAAAAAAAGTTTTATTATGTTACATTTCTTAAAAACAACGCAAGATAATAATAGTAATACTTTATTTCACAAAAATACATACATATTGTAGTTGAAAAGCATATTGAACAGTACATTTTGAAACAAACAATTTAGACTATCAATACAAATAATACGGTTGTCTCTGCTGCCGTACTAGGAGACCTATATTACGGCATACAGTGCCAATCCCCCAAAATATTGTCAGAATTAAATTATCTGTTTAATTTGCGAGTGTACCATTTTGAGCTGTTGGTTGGTGCTATATGTATGTATGTATGTGTCTGTGATGGGTGTGTGTGTTAATGTGTGTGAGTGTGTTGTGTGTGTGTGTTGTGATGATCAGTGTTTAAAATGTTAAAGAACTTTTGGACGACGAGTATAAGTTTTTTTAATATATTAATACAATTTAATTGAGCTTATTAATTAGGATATACATATGGACAATACTAAACATTTTTTATATACATTTAATATAGTTGTTGAAACAAATTTCATTGAATATTACTAGGACCAAAATGTGATCCGATCCCAGCAAGAGAATATATACTTCAGAAATATCTGAAAGAGAACCCCGATCCGGACAGACAGTGCTATTCACATTTCACTACAGCCACAGGTTGACATACATAATAAAGTAATAAGCTCGATACTGTTACGGGATAAGTTGGTATATAAACATAGATTAATCACAGTAATACCTTTTAGTAGTTACTGCTAGGGTTTCGTGTGACTGTAGATGCTAAGCCATTGATTTATGTAATTCGTGTTATTTCGCTAGTGAAAGCTAGTTGTATTAATCTTTATTGGTTGTTAAATTGGAACATTATGTGTCATTTGGGATCAAACAAAACATATTCTACTATCTATCTATTGAAGAACAGAAATTAAAAAAAATATGTGAGAGTCACTTCAATACGATTTTTTAAATTTCTATTCATTTTGATTTTAGAATGACATCTTGTCTAGACCTCTTGTTTAGAGTTCTCACATATTTGTCTTTTTTTCTCTAAATTGAAGAAACTCACGAATTGTTTAACTTTATTAAGCAATAATATTTATTCAAGTATTAGTAATGAGTAATATTACTAATAATAACAAATAAAACAACCAATAATGATAACAAAGTTGTATTAGAGTAGTACAAGCCCCTCGTGATCAGGTCCCCAGCGCGACGCGAGCACCGCGCGCGAGTTCATACTGCGAATGTTCGTCGATCTCAACCCCGACGCCGAGAAGATTATATACTCGCACTTCACGTGTGCGACCGGTGAGATATATGTTTACTTATATATTTTTTTAAAGATAATAATAATTATTATATAATGTTTTCCTGACCGATTCCGGCCACGGCGGCCAATCTCATTGAGACTAGCCAGCTGCGCAGGAGATATATATGCAGCGCGTGTACGCGCAGACACAACGTGCACTCTCTATTCTTGCCACTCTCATACTCCGGTGGGACGACACGAGACACGACCGGTGAGAGTTAAAGCGCAGGACCGACGGCTTTACGTGCTCTCCGAGGCACGGGGGTGACACACCGCCAACTTCCCAACTCCGGGCTGTTACTGAGGCTTACTTTTACAGAAAGACTCAATAACTAAACTTGGCCCCCCCGGGACTCGAACCCAGGACCTCTGGGTGTGCAGCCGTACATGCTAGCCGCTACACCACCGAGACAGTTAAAAGTAATGTTATTTTTAAAATAATGAAATAATGTTAGTCCCGCGGAGTTTCTTTTACCAGTTCTTCTCAGGTCTGAGGCTTCTTCTTTCCGAACTGGTATTATGCTCATGACGTTCAGTAAAAAATTGTATCGGTTTCAATGTAGTTTTTTTTTATGTTTGACTAATTAAATTATGTATTTAAAAATATTGATATAATAACTTACAAAATCTGACCCCACGAAATCTATAGAGATCCATATATTTTTTTTAATTTTATGTCCCGTTAATTTTTTTTTTTTTAATTTAAAGCAGACATTTTAAAGTGGTTCCTATATGTCATGTATCCTATTAATATGAAAGTTATATCCAATGGTTACATTGGTAACATTATTAAATAACAATTTAAAAAAACGAATAAAATATATACATACATATCTGTTCAAAATTACTGCATTTCTAGTTTAATTTTTGAAAAAAATATTTTTGAGAAACGAGTTGGGTGGTTGCTATGACGTTGGCAATAAATTACGTATCTTGCAAAGTATATATACCCGTAACATGACGACGTCAATTCTTTGACTATTTATTTGGGTTCTATTCCCACTGAAGCAAAGAATTGACTTTACATCATTTGTTTTACTTTTTAACATATTTAGAGGAAGTCACGGCATATAGACCATCCTATATAATACAACACAAACAGGTACTTTAATTACTTTTTCTTTAGAAAACGCTCAATAAAATATAAATATTTTTTTTTGTTCTTATAAGATAACTTAATAAGATTTAGAATTAGAAATACTGCTTTTTTCAAGGATACAAGGTAAGCTTTACAATTTTTCATTTTGTGTTGTTTGCAGTTTTATTTATTTTCGCTAATTGTTTTTTTTTTAATAAAATTATAATAATCTAGTGTAGTTCGCGATAGTTAATTAAATCTAATGAGTTATCAAATGTGTTAATTTATGCACATAATATGTAGTTGAAGATAAATTATGATTTATGATGTTGCTTCGTTAACTGACGACGTAGCGTAGTTGTAATCTCTGCTAGTTATTCTTACTGGCTGAAAGTCACGTGTTTGATTCTCGCGTGCTTCTAACCTTTTTCTTTGTACTGGACATATACTTTGTCACTTTAGTTAGACAATCGCAAAGTGTAAAGTCATATTTAAATTCGGTCATTGCCATTGTGATTATATTTGCATGTTGCATTTATCAATGCTGCATTACCATACAATTTGTTTTTCAACGTAATAAGTTTTTATTATAATAATATTTGATTAAGAGCGTTTACTCCTAGGACGTCTTGACAAATGAGGCGTAGTTAGCTCCAATAAAAGCACAGATGCCGTTTGAGTGACACAACACGTTCTCGATAGTTATGTTTGTTTCCAGACAATATACAAATGGTTGTAGGATATTTAGATAATTCTTTCATACTAAAATGCAACTACAAATTTAACGCGTAGGTACCTGTGCTTATGTAATTATAACTATATACTATAGCTTACTATACTTTTAGCTTATGTTGCTGAATTTTATATGGGGTTTACTGTTCTATGGGTTTCAAGAATCATTTAATTTACCCTGTTAGAAGGTAATTTCAGATATTTCAGCCTTAAAATGCCCTTTTATCGTAAATTATATTGTTATATTTCATAAATATATTCAATCAATTAAAGTTAGTAACATAGTACTAGTATTTGATAAACCTGAAAGCTTTAAATAGTAGTTTTAGAGCTAAACAAAGCATTTTAGGCGTATACGCTCTTAATCTATACTAATATTATAAAAAATAATCTTTTATTGTGAGTTAGGATGTAAGAGATAAACTCCAAAATTTCTGATCCGACTATGAAATTCTGTTCGTAAAACATTTTCAGTATATCACATGACCCAATATCATCGAAATAGACGAAAGGTTAGACAGAATTTAGTGAAAGACGTATCCTTATATATCTTTCGAGTTAATTTGAGAATAACAGCAGTATTGAAATACCAAAATGGTGAACCAGGAATCGAACCCATAGATATAACAAACGTCGACATAATCATTTTTTAAATGTACTATGTTTGTGGCCTTCATTGTTGTTTGTATTGACCTCATTTACTTCTATTTAATTTTATTTTTGCATGCTGCTTTGGAAATTTTTAAAGACACTGAAAATATTAAATTAGTGTTTTGTGCCGTAAAAGATACTATAATGCAGACCGCCCTTAAAGAATTTAATTTAGCATAATAAATTATTTTTTTCTAGTTGTTTATTTGCAATAAATATTTATTTTATTTTTTTAAATGTGTTTTATTTCCTCGCAAGCTTATAAAATAACTTAAGTGTATCTACTATCTACAGAACGTTACTTTAACATGATTGTTGTTTAAATGCTTTAACTTCATGAATATTTTTTATCTTTTATTTGTATATGCTTAAAATATAATTATTCTAACAATACATTAAAAACACAAGCTTTACACTGCTTCTGTCACTCAGTAAAAACAATTTTAATTATTTTTTATTGCAATATGTACTGTCGCATTTTATTAGAACTTATGATTTAAGCGAAGAAATTGTTACTAGATCGTTCTATGATTTTTATAATTCGACATTTAAGGGAAATATTACATACAATATTTCTAACAAAAATAAATAATTACTATAAAAAATATTTTGTATCATAAAGAATATGCACTACATAAAATATGGCTTAGTAATAAAATAGACACTAAGTATACAGACATACAATGTAAAGCAAAGAAATGTAAATTTCGTAAAAATAAGTAAATAAAGCTGTAAGACTTATTATGTATTAAAGCTCCCTTAGAACAGTCATCCTGAGTTTTATACTTTGTAACGTGTCAGTATCCGTCCTAGAGGGTGTGGATATTCGCAAGCTGCATGATTTTTTTTTCTTCCGATTTTGTTCTCTTGAATAACTATAGTAATTTTTGTATTGGATCGTTTAGTATGAAAATTAGCTTACGAATATGATAAATAATAGTAAAAAGATAGCAGTTCACGTAATATTTAAAAAACAAATTTATTTTCGCTAGCCTTCAGCGCAAATGACTTTTAAACAACCTATGATGGTTTTCTCACAATATCAATCGTCTAAATACGAGTATAGTAACTATATTATTATAGCCCCGATAAGAAAAATTAACTTGGAATTTTACAGAAGTCATGTTATATTACTCCAGGGCGTATATATTGTTTAATTTGTCTTTTCTTAACTTTAGTAAAAAATCGGTATAAAAATCTTATTAATTATTAATCTCAGAATTGAATGCATTTATCCACCCCGTTCAGGTTCCAGGGATGGCTGGGTCATACGGAAAAAGCATTACAAGGCATTTATATTTTCATCTTGACATATAAAAATAGTTACCTACCTAATTTATAAAGAATGCAGTAATTTTGAAAATAAACGTGTTTATTTATTAAATATATTGTGTAGTAAAGTGTGACATAATCCGACTGTGATTCCAGATACTGAAAACATTCGGTTCGTTTTCGCTGCGGTGAAGGACACAATCCTGCAGTCTAACCTCAAGGAGTATAACCTGGTGTAAGCGCCCCCGAGACCGGCACAGATCTGTGATTGTGTGTAACACCTGCAGCCGACAGTGTATATTTACGAACTGAGGACGAACTCGACTCCTAAACTGATTTTTTAATAAAAATAAGATTAGATAATAAGTCATTTAATCAATATTAGCACCAGTTCGATCCTCGGGGAGGGTCGCCTCATAATGCGTCTGGTTTTTTGACAAGTTTTTTATGATGAAGTTATTCACGACTTATGTATGTGTCTGTATCGGTGAATATTAAATGCATTTTAAAGTAGCGGCGGGTCGAGACTCGCCGCACCGCTTTTAGTCATTGTTTTAGATTTTTTTTTGTAAAGTTTGTTGCCATTATATCTTTCTACATAAGTATACATGTCCAGACGGATGGATTTGAACAAACTAGTCCAATGAACTTAGACGAGTTTTATCATCCTCGTCGATATCCCGTTACTATTAGGTATTTATTTAAATATTCGGTGGCGACCGAGCGACTACTGCATCGTGTCCTTCGTCTCGCTCATTCGAAAGATTATATTCATTTATATAGATTTTAACGAACACGTTACTTTTGTACATTGAAATTTTGTTAATCGATACATGTTGTGTTATTATTTAAACTGTTTATATATGTTGGTGTTTTTTACACGAATCGACTTGACGCAAAATGATTTACGCTCGTAGGTTTCGTGTCCGGCGTTTCGTTTGGTCCTTTCCTACCGTTTACCGAAGTTTCCATTTCACTAGACATATGTCAAATAGACGTTACTACGTTAGTTGTGTAAGGATATTTTTGAAGCATTTGTATAACTTTTTTTACTAGAAACCCAGGTTACATTAAAATGTGAATTGTGAAGCGGTGCCGATGGTTTTTTGCACAACTCTTTTAAACACAAAAATGTAATATATTGTACATTTTGGACTAAATGTGCTGAGTGAGTTGAGCTTGAGCAGGTCGTGCCCTCCGCGGGGCGGCGTCGAGTCTATGAAACCTTATACTTTCTGGATATAGCCATTCAAACGAGAACGTTGATTATATTCGATTTATTTTAATTCCTCGAACGGTTAGACGAATAGGCGAGTCTTGTTCTAAAACAATAATCCCTCGAAGCCGGTCCCGCCGGGGCACGAGTTCAATGCCAGGTTTTGCTATTGGCACACTTAAACGAAGCACAAATATACAATTTTATTATTGTTGTCCATATTTTATAGTATTTTTATTATTTACTTCGTGTGTGTTGCTTTGTGTTATGTTTTAGTTGTTTATTTGATTAGAAACGAAGTTTCTAATGGAGGTGTAACTTATTGAATTAACTTATTCGTCGTTGTAAACTTGATTTCTTCTAATGAGCTTTTTAAACTTCGACATTGTCAATAGCAAAACTGTACGCTCTAAGTTATATACAGCTGTCTGTAATGCTCAAAAATGGTAAAATTGGAACTAATCGCACAAAACATGAAATATTGTGTACTTTTTATCAATATCCATGCAGTATCTGTGTTTGCATTGTATATATTACTATTTCGTTTATTGCAATTGTACAGCGATATTTTATATCTTTTGAGCCTAACGCTTTTATGTGTGACGTCGCGCAGACTCGACACTTCGGCCGTGTGAATACATCCAGACAGACCAAATAATATAAATGTATATATATATTTATTTGTAATCATTTTATATTATTATAGAATTTTGACGCTTAGGCTACTACGTACAATTAGCACTTAGAACAAAATATGTCTCGCTATACGTTCGATACAATGTGTAATTAATTAACTATTTATTTTTGAATAAAATTTATATTGGAATACTCGATAGTGTATCTATGATTATCTATGTGCTTGCGTGATATAGAAGCATTTATGGCCGGTTTGTCGATTTTGATTTATTTTATGAATTCCAATATTTTTGAGTTTATTATATACTTAAGCATTTAATTATTTAATTTTTAACTGAATTAAGTGTTCATATTTGTACCTGAATCCGTTTATTCATACTTGGAGGCCAGTATGTCGACCTTAAGGTTAGACCAAAGTTGGGTTTTAAATTACCTGGAAATGAATATGTTTTACACGATTTAGCGAATTTGTATGCGGCCTTTAGAGTCATTTCCGGCGTTTAACCTTTTAGAGTTAAGGGCACAATTAATGATATGTATTGTTTTATGTTGTACAGTACGTTCTCATCGTTCTACCAAGTTTAGATATTGTATAAAACCTTACAAAACACGACGACTTTGTCATTGCACATTTGTCGAGAAATAATGCCATGGAAAACTGCCCTAATGTCGTGTATTATATGACTAATATTTTTATCGTATTTATTACACTATAGAAGCTAATTGATATGATGTTAGGCTGCGCTTTAAACTTAACATTGAGATAAATAAGTGAGAAAATAAAAAACGGTTTAATCGGGGTCGGAAATAGATTTTTGGGTGTTTTATATCTATTAATGTTTGAGCCTAGCAACCCCATATCAACTAGCTTTATTTAGTCAGGTATAAAATTATTACAGGGGTCATCTCTGTACATTGGAAAGCTTTAATTTTATTTGGTATGAAATCTAATTTTATTCTTCTACATTATGTTTATATACTTATTCAATCAATTCAACATTCTATCAGGTATGCGCTTCCATTTCTAGCTTCCAAATAGGGACTGATGTTTGACATGGTTTTCATATTTGAAGCGAGTCAACCCGCGCGCAATAGCTAGTGTAGTTAACAGCTCGTATGTATAGCCGGATGTATCACACGTGCCCGAGGGCGCGGTCGAACAAATGCAAAGTGTTCACATTCATATCTTCCTCACAAATGGACTGAATACAGCGTGTTGACGTTCTTACCTGTTTTTCGTTTTTACGATTGGAAAATGACTACCTACAATTGCTAAAACTATATTATAGTCTAACGTTGCTTTACCTTTTGCGTGAGATTGTGAGAATTTTAGCTTAAGTTTCGACTGAAGATGGATGCCTGTATGTAATATTGTAAATTATAATTTCTCATAAAATATAATTTTTTTCAGCTAAATGATTTGTTTTATTGTTAATTCATGCGCTTTAAACATTTTTATGTGAGTATTATCGTGAATTCTTTTTTTCTTAATTTTAAAATGTTGACCTTCTAAATTCTAAAGCTATCATCACATCATTAGATAGTTTATTATTAAGTTCCCAATATTAATAACGTTGGTCATAGCACAGATCACATAATACTATACTAGTACGGTTGCCTCATCCCATACAAAGAAAGGACAGCGTTAATTCGGGTTATTTTTGTTTACTTGAATAGATAATAGATGTCGTTGATCCGCAAATAGTTGCAACTGTTTTATTTTATAAATACGTCGTACGAACTTATGGTATATGTTGTAAAATTCAATCCCACATTCTATTAAACAAATTACAGTGATTTCAAAAACTTTTAACGCTGATAAGCTACTGGTGAAAAGTAAAGGGGCCATCTATGAACATGCACTGCAAACCTCTTATTTGATTGTTAATATTCAAATAATTAATAAAATTACACAAATTTAATTTCCGGACGTATTATTTCGTTTCCTATCATTTAGAATTTTTTAAACTATAATATACGTTTTTGGGACCTATTTTTTTTCTTTTGTTGTAGTAACAAATTTAATCTATTGACGTAAATTTGAACTAACTTTTCTTTGTTCGTGATGAGACCCCATAGTAATAATAAGAATGTAACTGACTGTTCATGGGATGGAATGAATATAATATAGATATATTTAAAATAATTCACTTATTTATTCAAATTCGTTAGTAAATGACACATGACACGAGTTGTTTTTCATTATAGTGTTGTGCGAATAATGGCCTTTAGACACGACGACTTTTTAACGCGTTTGTTATGCGTTTACATGATATGTACGTAAATAAAAAATTTTCAGTCTAATATGCACAGACAATCTAAGTTCGTAATACGCACGTTCATGGCGTCTTTATAAACGGATAATTATCATATTCACATAAACACAAATAAAGCTATCTTTCATTATGTCGTGGTCATAATTTTAGTTTTATTATGGTCGTTTTCGAATATAAGTGAATATTTTAAAATGCTATCTATCATTTTCAGACATTTTCATTATGTAACAATTATCTACCCAATAGGTATTTTGACGGTATTATTAAATATAAATAGTGATTAGCTAACGACTGATTTAAATGAATTTGATGAAAATGGCCCTTAAAGTCAAGATAGAAAGTGTTATCTCTTTTTGTCACTAGATGGCGCTGTTTTCATTTCATATAAACCGCGTAAACCTCAATGTGAGCCTATAGATTAAAAAACTACTAACTTATAGGATGAATTGTAAAAAGAAACTGACTTGTCATCGTTTTCACTGTCCCCGTTATATAAACAAAAGTATGTATGTGTTATAATATCAATGAAATAATCTCATAAAACACTTGATACCGAAATTAGCTGAAAAACTATATGGCCATAACTAAGAAGATAATCGTAGGCTTTAGAATCATACTTTGCTATAACAAAATAAAGGCGTAAACAATAATTAAGTGATAGTGTAATATGATAACTAACGCACATCTTACGTTTTCCTAAGATTACGCAAACCTATTTTTTGCCATGAAGATCACTCTAATCTTAGCTTAAATTCGACCACGAAAGAGTAAAAACTATCTTTGTATCAACACTTATAAATATAAAAATGAATCCGCGCTGAACGTGTTGCTAAGCGCAAATCTCGAGAGCAGCTGAACCGATTCCGCTAATTCTTTTTTTTTGAATATTCCTTGAAATACGAGGATGGTTCTTACGGAGAGAAAAATTTAAAAAATTGCCTGAAAAAGTCTAAAAACAACACTTTTATATACTCCCATACAAAAGATTCGTAATAATACTTAAAAGTCATACCATACCATAAAGTTTGTGTTAGTTGAGAAGTTCTGGGAAGGCAAAACAATTATTGACGTAGGCGGGACCAACTGTATCAAATCGCAGGCCACCCCGCCCACCAGACAGTCATTACTCCATCATAAAAGTCTCCGCTGGGAAAACTCACATTCTTCTTTATATTCTCAATTGTCAAGTAATCATTTCTTTTAAAAAAAAAATCGATATTCCACTTCTTTCCTTTGTCGGAGCGCACCTAATATCACTCATCGCACTTTGTTTACTTATTATACCATAATGGAAAAATTAAACCTCACAGCGTTACAATTTATTTTAATAAAAAAAAACAATTGACGTAAGTATCGTATAAATATTAATGTTAATATTTGTCAATATTATTAACAAAAGAAATTAAAATTTATATGGCCAACGCTGGCTAATAACTATTTATATCTACTTAATACGTACCTAGCGACGAACCCGAGCGAAGCGATCGCGACGGTGAGCGGCTAGTTAATTATATATTGCACTACAAATAAACAAGAGATTGGTTTTATTTTAGTTAAAACTAGCATAATTAAAAATGTATATTTTCCATTAAAAATAAAAATTACTTTGCTATACCTACTATAGTACGTAATTATGATATTTTGTATTCTATTATGTAAATTCCGCTTCTTGTCCAGAGATGGCGGTAATTTCAATGCACAGAATTATGAAAGCAATTGCATTACATATAAGGTTGACATTTGCATCGTAGGTTGATGCATACTGCTACTCAAAATGTGCAATAATATGTTGTTTCTCTTGCATTGTAAATTTCGATAAATATACGTTTTATTATTTAATTTAAATATATAGGACAAGTAAAAAAAGTTAAAAATATACTTGACTACTATTTAAATTTGATAAATACATATATAGTTATCTAAACTAATATAAAAAGGTAACCGATGGTAGATAGTATCTTAAGCAACCTAAGATTCTTCCTGCTACAATTTTATGTGCACTTTAAAATGGAACAATGTGGCATAGTACCGGCAAACTTAGAATGTTCATAGACCTGCAATCCGACGCAATGTTAGAACACGACTGACATCTTAACATGCTGAAAAATAGTTTAATCACATTTTTCTAGACATCATTCCGAATCCAATGAGTACCTAATATATATTTTAGGAGCTTTGTCTCTGATTTTCAACTTGTAATCTAGACTATCTAATAAGCATTGTTCCGCCTGACTTTGCTCCACTTCCCTTTTTTTTCGTTTTACGTTTTTTCTGTTCCGTGCATTCGACGATATTTGATTTTAGTAAAAGTTCATCCATCTGCCAAAATTCTATATCTAAATAGCTGTAGCAACACTTGCTATTATTCTAAGATTTTTTTTTTAATTTAAAAGAAAGTTTAAGAAGTAGAAAGATAATATTTTTCGAGTGTAAGTTTATATCTGTATTTCTTTGTCACTTATGATCATGAATGAATTATGGAATTGCTTTAGCAAAAGGTGTTATAAAGTTCGTTTAAATTCTGGGAGGGACGAATATGGCACCTGCGTAACAAAAAAGTAATCAATTTTGTTATTTTATTAAATAAAAGTTAGGAAATAGCGAATTCAAAAATAAATATATGTTATCTATACTAATATTATAAAGAGGCAGTTTGTTTGTTTGTTTGAACGCGCTAATCTCAGGAATTACTAATCCGATTTGAAAAAATATTTTTGCACTAGATAGTCCGTTTATTGAGAAAGGCTATGGTCTATATATCATCATGCTACTACCCAAGGAAGTGGAGCAATAATATAATATACAGTCTCTTCCACACTAACCGTTAAAACGTACGTAAAGACGAACTACTCGCTAGTGTCTATTAAAAGCGATAGACGATAGTGTGAGAATTTAATATTAGCATATACTTAGTAGGTACTAATATTTTCTATTTGTATGTATACAAAGTAAATTATACATTGGAAAATTTAGTATATTTTTATTCTTTTTTAGATCAAAGTATAATAAGCTAGGGTACCTACATAGTTAAAAATATACACATTTTTGTTTTTTGACAAAAATTTTATTACAGTAGGTATAAAAAATGCTCATTACATAGATACTTATTTAGAACCAATAGGAATCAATACTGTTAATGTAAAGTTTTTAAAATATATATTTTTCTCTATAGATGTATAACTTCAATTTTAAACTACGGTACATACCTACTGACTGTAAGATAATTGTGCTCTTAGTGAATATGTCGAAAGATTTTTAATAATTTATGTTGTCTTAAATTATAAATTGAATAATAAAGGCCTAATCAAATATATTTGGATTTTCTATTAACAGTTTTGCATCTTCGGGACAATACATTATAATATTTCCAACAGTACAAGGCCGTTCGCAGCATTCGCTCGCAACTTGTCTGCGCACACGCAGCCTGTTCACTTCTGTGTTCAGACGCTTCTTATTTCTGTTCTGAAGTAAATCTTTAGGAGCCAGCTTATCTGAAAAAAAATTAAACTACAGTAAAATGTTGATATTTATTATTAACATAGGATTTAAAGTCGATTACACCTAATAATTACTTAGTTGTAGTTATAGGTTTCTTAGACAGAAGCATATTATGCATGCATGTTATATATATGTATGTGAAGAAACTATTAATAAAATAAATTAATATTTTTTTCAAACACCGTTTTAAAAATAAAAAAATGTATTCCTAAGTAAGTACCTATACTCTTTATCACATGTAATTTACAGGAAAATAATTACGAAGAAAATCGTTTTGTTATATCATGCGATACATACCTAACATAAGCGAAGTGTCTCTCTTAACAATTTTATAAACATTATTGCAAAAATTATCTATTACAGATGATAACCATTTGCTACACATGTATACTCGATCACTCATCTTATACGTTTCTGTGTCTTCCGAGTTCTCTTCTGCACTAACATTTCTGCATATCAAGTGAACTATGAACACCTAAAATAATATAAATTATGATTAAGTACAGTCACAAATTTAAAAAATATATTGATTTCAATCAATTAAATCTATCACATATTTGACACTTATATATATTGTTAAATGAAACTATAAGCAAAACATACAAAATATTTGAAATCCATTTATAATTGGTTATATTTCAATGTATTTCCATTAAGAGCACAAATAAATGTTTTGCCTGTTTAGCTTCTATTTTATAAATGAATGACAGAAGTCGGTTGTTCTAAAATGATCTTCCTTTGGTCCATTTTACGGTATTACTTAAAACTTGTTTACATCGATAATAGCATTTACAAAACATTGTCAATGCGATAAGAGATTTTTCTAATATCGGGAGAGCCATATTTCAGCTTTAAAACAGCCATAATTATAAAACGATGCGGTATATAAATAACGTGTAAGTTACCGTTCCAATATAATTTCCTAAGCTCTTTTTGAATGTCATTTTTTACTAGCATTGCCCGCGGCTCTGCCCGCGTTCAGATTACCAAAAACCAAGTTCTTAGGTTTTACATATTAGTATACTCTTACATTGCAGTTTTTGTATTTTTCTCAGAAATGAAATATTTTCCCGCGATAAAAAGTATCCTATATGTTGACCCGGATAACCAGCTATCACCATACCAAATTTCATCAAAATCCTTCCAGTGGTTTTTCTGTGATGCGGTAACAGACAGACAGTCGACAGACAGACAGAAATTCTAAAAACTATAGATTCGGCCTCTGTATCGATAATAATGTTTATTTCAATAAGATTTCCCAAAAAATATTTAATGTACAGATTCGACTTTGTTACAATTTTATTATATATATATAGATGTCATATGTTGTAAACGTTTTCAGGTGTTTAAACTTTTCTCTACTTGTTCAAATGATGCAAATTGTAGAGACAATACTTACCCACCCACACGAGCCAATTTTTTTACTTAAGATATAAGTGTTATAAAAATTAATAATAATACAATAACAGTCAATATAGCCACGTAATACGAGTATGTAGGTACCAATCTAATGATATTACAAATTTATATTTAACAATAATTATTTAATTAAATAGATATTTAATATGATTTAAATATTAAATAGATATTTAATATGATTTATTAATTTTGGTGACAAGGTCAATTTAAAGATCACAAACAAAACCCGAGATATTTAAAATTTCAACTGTTTTAAACAAATATGGAGCATCTATTATTATTACTTTACGTGCACATAGCAACAGCGATATCAAAGGGCACTGGGCAAAAGGTGGCGAGTGTCAACAGACAAACTAAAAATAAATCATTGTTTACTCACACAGATCGCCTGCTGATTACCTTTTAATTTTATTTTAAAATTATAGTTATTTTAATGAATGTGACGTTTTATAAAACTTAAGGACATGCGTAAGAGAAAGTAGGTATTTACATTATATTTCTCGTTGAAAAAAAAATGAATATTAATTAGTCCCCTCGGTAATTTGAAGTTGAAAGAATAGTATCTTGTCCGCAAACATTCAATAATTTATTTTTATTTATTTATTTATTTATTAACACCAACAAGACATACACTAACAAAATCATAATAATATAATTACAATAAATAATAAATTTTAAGTGCTGCCTTAATTATAGGTGTTACACACATTTCATAAAAGATAGACACAAATACAAGTAGTGAATTAAAATAAATACAAAAATTATGGGAATATTATATTTGAAGTCTGGGCTTCTCTATTCTCTACAATTTTATGCATTTCTTCTCAGCTCTCACCACTATCGAAAATTCATTGAACTATGAACAATGGACAGAAAATTACGGACTTCTTTTCAAAATGAACATTTATGAATAATTGTACAAATTATTAAAAAATTAAATCACGAATTTGGATCAAACTCTTGTTGTTTGGTTATTTAAACTTTTGTTATTTTGAACTCTCGGTAATTTGAAATTTTTCTCTGCTCCCTTAAGTTTCAAATTATAGAGTCGACTGTATGATTATAAAAATAAGTTCACATATACATACATATTTATAATAAAATGGTAACTAAACTGAATCTGTACATTAAATATTTTTTGGAAAATCTTATTGAAATAGTCATTATTATTGAAACAGAGGCCGAATCTATAGTTTATGGAATTTTTGTCTGTCTGTCTTTCTGGGAACGCATCACGAGAAAACCACTGGACAAATTTTGATGAAATTTGGTATGATTATAGCTGGTTATCCGAGTCTACATATAGGATACTTTTTACTGCTGAAAAATATCTCATCTCTGACAAATCTAAACTAACCTTTAAAATACGCTTAGGGACGAACCCAAGCGGAGCGAGGGTGAGTCGCTAGTCATTCATAAATTCGGAGTTTTTGCTAAACTTTTCAATTAAAATAAACAATATCTACTACTCGCAACATTTTTTTAACAGATCTTTTGCAAAATAGTCACGACTTATTATAATTCTTATTTACATCGTGATCGCTTAAAATTTAAATTTCCTGAGCATAATCGCCGACTAATTTTCAATAGCTCTGAAAAAGTTTTTTTTTTAAATTGGGTATACTTACGCGTTTAGACTTAACACTATGCGTACTTTCATCTGTACCTAATTGATAATATGAACATCCCTAGCGTTCGACCACTGATAGAGTCTTACTAGTAAACAACTGATTGCAAGCACGCGTGCCCTCAAATGTAGTTAAAGTTTCCATACATAAATTATGGTTTGAAAAACAGTTAGTGTCGAGACGAAAAACAGTTTGTGACAAGTTTTTTTTTGATGCAAATTATTTTAAAGTGATCTTAAAATTATTAACAAATATATTTAAATATAAGTATAAATATATTGTGTGAGGTGGAATACATTGTGGAGGATATTCCCGCATAAATTAAAGCTTGAATTTATTTGTACTATTCATATCAATATTATGCTTGATGGGTTTGGTAATTGCTTGGAGTTGGGAAGTTGGCGATGTTTTACCACCGTGCCTTGGAAAGAGAGCGCTTAAAACCGTTAGTGCTGCGCTTGATCGCTTACCAGTCGTATCGTATCGTTGCCCCAGCGAACATTGAGAATAAATATAAAAGAAAAAGTGCACGTTGTGTCTGTGCGTACACTTGTGCAGTATAATATCTGTGCACATGGCTAGTCTAAGTGATATTGGCTAACTATAAAAAGTAAAAATTAAGGTTTACATTTTCAAACTAACCCACAAGACTATCTCTCATGTACAAAATATATAAATATTCCGTCACACATTCGGGTAGGAACACTGCAGTTGACCTTTGACAAAAGTTAGCTTTAAATAATAAATTTTATTATTTTAGGTTGGTTAACAACATTAAATACGTATGAGATAAGAATTAATTTTTCAATCAATGTTGTCGTGATTCCTGTTCAAATGGAGCTTGACCCACATCCAGAAATAGATAACTTGAATAAATTTCAATCTTATGAAAATATTCCGGTAAAGTTCTAAAGAAATTAAATCGTTAAAGCTAACTTAAGAAACTTATTGCAAGATGTACGTCCACGGTCGGTCCAAATCTATACAGATAAATTAAATTGAAATGTCTGTTTGTAATTTCAAAACAAAAGCTTTTTACTAAATGCATATGAAATTATATACGATACTTATAAGAAAAACACAATTTTCAATTTTTTTGTGTATCTATTTGACCGGCTAATCTCCGAAACGGCTGACTGATTGTGACAGGATTTTCAATGGGACATATTTCAGTGGGATAGGTTATGTTATAAGGAGTAACTGAGGCCACTTTTATTTTAGAAAAAGATTTTTTTATGTTGGGACTTTAACACACAGCACCATCTAGTTCCATGGTAAGCTACGAGGCCTGTGTTATGGATACCAGATGGTTGATACACTACGTATATATAACTTTAAATACATACACATTATAAATATAAACACCCATGACTAGAGTACAAACGTTCGTGCTTATCACACAAATGAATGCCCCCAGCGGGACTCGAACCCGCGACCGCTGGCACAGCAAGTAGGGTCACTGAGCCAAACGTGTCGTCGAATTAGGGTTCTGCTCAAAAAAAAACGTAGGTACCTAGGCATCCTAGCGAAGCGAGGGTAAATCACTAATATTCAATAAAAAGCTAACTAAAAGATGAGAACAAGTTGACAAAGGAACATAGTAATTATGCAGTCGGAGACCCCGTATGTTACACTCTACACTCGAATCTTTTTCAAGACACAATAATTGGCGGCTAGCCCCTAGGATCCGCCATTTATTTATTTATTTTTATATATGCCCTATGATACTCGCGTTATCAAGACGAACCCAACGACCTATGAATCATCAAAATTGGTTAAGGCGTTTAGTAATAACGAGGGAGCAAAGGGTCGGACATACATATATACATATACATACACACAGGTGAAACATAGCCCTCCTTTGGGCTTCACCACAGTCAGGTAAATAGCGCTACGCAGATAACGTATCACGTAGCTATTCTAACAAAAGTAACAATATATTAATTATATTTAATGTATTTAGAACATTCCTTCTTAAGTTGTATTTTGTGGCCTACAATCGAATGAACGGTACTTAGTGTAATTAATACAATGAGTTCATTACGATATTTTTGAGTTAAATTGAGGAATTTTTAGTCTTGGATATTGACACTTGACCTTAGATTAAACTGTGGGTATGGTAAAACGATATTATTTATATGTACTATTTCATGTCAAGGATATATCTGAACGATGTTGTTTTCTAAAGTTGACTGCGATAGTAGTTATTCAGTCCATCACTAAAAATAGTTTTTCATTATATTTATTTATTGCTCAATATTTAAAACTTAACTAGGTATTTTCGCTTCTTGTCCACCTAAAATCTGCAAATGAACTGTTTTATAATATTATAACCTTGTGACATAAATAGTTTTGACAACGCTGTAAACATTCATGAGGTAGATAAAAAGAGTAATGTGAAGATACCGATAACAATATTATATCGTATCATGCCTCCACAAATCTGTGATAGCATTATCAGTACGCCTCTTCTGTGTTTATTGTCAGTGTTCGAAGCTCTTTATTGTACCATTTCTATTCCTGTTTCGAAAAAGTTATTTTATAGTAATGTAGTAGTGTAAAAGTTTTAGTTGGAAATGGCTTTTTGGACTATACTTTTCGGTTTGCTCACGCTACAGAGTGTAGTTAGTACTAATGAAGGTAAAAGTTTAAACGATGATTTCTATAAATCTTAGAAAATAATTTTAAAAAATTTGTTAAGAATACTTGTTATACGATAATTAATAATTACGTACGCCCCACTGACTCACGAACTCACTGGCCATGACAAGCTAAAATAAGTGATTAGTGATAACAATGTAGTTAATCCATCTATTACCGTAAATATTTTTGTTTTATAATCATATTTTATATCATTTAATAGTAGGTATGTATGTAAATATATAAAGATATTTTTTCGTTGTTTTCGACTATAGATCGTAAGGTTCCAGTACCGAGTCATGAGTAGGCAAAAAATATTTTATAGTAAAGACAGTCGCTTTTGGGTGTCGTTCCTTGTTTCAAAAGCATCAAAGCATCGATAACTATATTTTTTTTATATTTCAACTAATACCTAAGTCGCTGGATTACTGCAAATATTCTTAAGTGCCCTAGACCAGATAGCTTTCGACAACAATTAGTAGGTACCTATACTTGTATTTAGCCTTTTCTATTGTTTCACATCTGGGCACCGGCTTCCCTCAATGAGAAGGGGATCGTGCTTCAGTCCGCCATGTTGACCAATTGCGGGTTGGCGGACTTCACATATTATGTCTTTGATGAAAACTGGTCAGGTTCACTCAACATGCAAGTGTTTTTGTGAAAATAAGATTTTTTTTTAAATAAAAAATAACTTCATATAGTTAGTGAATAGAAATTACTTACTTGATTACATTTGATTCAATTTCGAAATAATAAATTACTTATTTTAATGATGTGATGTTCTCCTAGCCGATTCCGGCCACGGCGGCCAATCTCAATTAGATTAGCCAACTGCGCAGGAGATATTATAGTGCTCAAGTGTACGCGCAGACACAAGTGCACTCTCTATTCCTATCACTCTCATTCTCCGGTGGGACGACCACTCGACACGACCGGTGAGAGTTAAGGCGCAGGACCGACGGCTTTACATGCTCTCCGAGGCACGGGGGTGAAACACCGCCAACTTCCCAACTCCGAGCTGTTACACTGAGACTTACTATACAGGAAGACTCAATAACTAAACTTGGCCCGACCCGGGACTCGAACCCAGGACCTCCGGGTGTGCGGCCGTACATGCTAGCCACTACACCACCGAGGCAGTTATTTTAATAATATGACCTTGATATATTATGAAGATAACTATTTCATAATTGCTGAAATGTTAAATGAATTATTTTCTTGCAAATCTTAAATATTTTAATTTATACCTATAATAATAGTAATAATAATTCGGCCCTTTCTAACGTCCTACTGCTGGGCGCGGGTGTCCCTTCAATGTGAGGAGGGATCAGGTCATAATCAACCACGTGACCGAATGCAGGTTGGCGAACTTCACAAATCACTAGTCTTCCGATAACTAGTTATGTTCTCACAGAGAAGTTTCCTAGTAAGGCGAGTGGTAATCATGTTAAATATGATTTGCACTGGTTGTATAATTTTGGTTACCAAGCAAGTGTGTTACCACCAAGTGTGTTACCACCAAGTGTGATGAACCAAGTAAATGCGCCTGTGACTTCAAAACCGTGTAATATGTATGTTATTCCGTTTGTAGATACATGTGCATTTTGCTTCGGTGAGGGGTACCAGTGCATAAATGGTATTTGTTATTGCGCCGCCGGTTACATACCAGATTATCTACACAGCAGTTGCATGAAATGTCCAGGTGAGTAAAATATGCCAATAAAACAATATAATATGCCCACAATAAAACTGTCACAATGACTCCGTTACAATTTTATAATGAGTACCTCTGTAGGTATTTATGTAAATAGTACATGTTTTTTTTTTAATTTTATCATATATCAAATCAATCAAATTGACTATTTTTTACAAACTAGACATACATATTTCAAAGTAGTGTTTGTAGATACATATTTATACGATTTAAATTACCTAATAATTTTAACCAATCGCGTAGGTATATCTAAAGAAGCCTATAAATTACTTTCTTCTTTTTGCGCAAGTAATTAACGGCCTAAATAATTAAGTCTATAAGAAACTCAGCGAGACAGCACCTACATTTTTTTCATATTAATTTATTTCCATATTGGTAGGAGTGGGAGAATTGTGCTACGGAAAATGTTGTAGTCCAAATGTCAATGAAACACTCCAATGCTGGCGAGGTGTATGTCGGAATTGCTACGAACCACTTGGTAATTGGGTTTGCAGGTTTGTAATGTAGCATGGCCAGAATATTTAGATGGCTATTAGGGCCTTAATTTTTACTGTATGATATTTAAAAGTTGTTTTAAGCTCTCAGACGTTAGGAATAGCATGGTACAATGAAATACATGGTATTTGTAGCTGATTTATTATGTGTGTGGTTTCGCCATTGGGCTAATTCAATATTTAGTATATTAAAAAGATTAAGTAAAAGAGACACGAAAGTTGGCAATGTAATCTAAATTTATTTTTACGAATTGATTTGTTACTTTATTATATCTACATATTATATATAGGGTAGGCTGATAAATAGCTCATAAAAAGTTCTTAATTTTCTTGCGCCATCAGTGAATATGCGATACAATCAAATTACTTAACTGCTGTTTATTCAATAATAATTAGTAAAATTACCCACATTTGTTTAACGAGCACATTATTTCATGTTTCTTTACTTAATACCATCATGTATTTATTTAGGATAATAAAAAGATAATACTTTTATTATCTTTTTATTTATACACAACTTTTACAACACATCGATATGTATGTAATGGCTTCTTATAAGTACCTACCGTATATAATTTCATATGCATTTAGTAGAACGCTCTTATTTTGACATTACAAACAGACACTTCAATTTTATTTATCTGTATAGATAATAAATTATTCGTGCATTTACTCTTATCAATAGATTCAGTCTAAAAAATTTTGTAAAACGAATTTTCACTTATAAGAACTTAATAAGTAGGTAGGTACTGATGATAATAATAACGTAAAATCAATATAAGTATGGGAAAGGTGCCATGAATGGGACAACTTTTTTAGTGTAAGATTTTGAGCAATAAATGAGGTATGAGGTATGAGGTAAATCGATATGAAGACATTCTTCGTCCTTATATTTATTTAACATGATAATTTTTGCAGGGAGCCCATGGAAGAAATAATACTAGTTACAGGATCTCAAATAGTAATGGCAGCCACATTGATACTTGGAGTTATTGCTACTTTGATATTAGTCTACCTGTTTTGTGCTGTCAGTAGTATAAGGTATAGTTTTGATATGTTCTAAAGTGCGTAAGATAGGTACAAATAATGGCAGCAAATTTATGATTATGACGCCACACTTATGTGTTGCACACCGAATAAATATAATGCAAACAATGTATTTGGACTATTTTAGAATAAATAAAGATTTTTTATCTGTCTGTCTGAAAACGCATTACTCAAGAATACGAACGAACTCTCACAAAATGCGGAGCCCGTGCTTAGTGGTTATGCACTTAATAAAATGATAGCCACAACGGAAAAACCGCTGGCAGAAGATATTAAGACGAATAATTAATATGAATATGTTTTCAGTCCTTTTGAAGCACGACTAGATGAAAGTCGTTTATCAGTGGGAAGTTTAGAAATTTATGTTCGCGAACGCTTGAAAGATGTACCTCCAAAGTAAGTTAAATATGATCCACATAACATGGAAACAAATAAATGATTTTAGTTTGTAATTAATTAAAAAATATGTAATTTTTTTCTACTTAGGTATTCCAGAACAGCGCCTGCAGGTTCTGCGATTTATCCGACTGATAAGTTGCTTAATAATGGCTTTGTAAGTCTTTGCGTGTTTATCTTTATCGACAATTAAATCTAAAATCTTTTAAATTTCTGATCCTCGTTTAGCCTATTATGGCTAAACAAGAAACCGAAAATCTAATATTTACTTTTAAATCTTAATAGTCGCAGTTTTGCTTTACTCAACGGTATTTAATTCAATTACATCTACCTGTGTCTATATTATTACAGTAGTACCTAATACATGTTCAGGTACTATAGTTTTTAACATATTCTCTCCATTTATAATACGGAAACTCTCCATATCTCCATAATAATATGTTTATTTTAAATACTGAGCCTAAAATAATAGGATAATTATAATAATCAATTGTTTCGGACCTATAATACATATATTATTCTGATCTCAGACTAAAACAATAAGATAGACGGTAGACGGAGCTTTATACCTATAAAGAAAAGTTAAATGAGAGGAACTTATCAGAAAAAAATACTTGCATGTCAATCTAATAATTATTTTCAATACTTAAAAAATAATTATTGCTAGTATTATTTTTAATATTTTTGACAAAATTTGACCACAGTAGGTATAGAAATCAAGTTTGTTTCTTTTAGATATAGGTATTGTGTAATCTCGTTTAAAGGATGCATCGCATTCGTGCCATTGGAATCTTTTGTAAAGAATTGACGTTTTTATTATTTTAATATACATATGTATAAGTATTAATTACTAACGCTTTGAATAGATCTAAAATATTTTTTTATATTTTTTACATCAGGTACATGATAACAGCTTGCCTCCACCACTATACACTTCCGAAAGTAAGCATAGTGTCGAAGAAAATATAACGATCCATATATAACAAGTACCTAAATAAGACGGGTAACATCAAAGTACAATAATGCTGCAAGTGTACAAATAAATTATAAGAACAATGTAATAAGTTAATGGAAAAAAAAATACATTAATTTTACAAGCAATTTCACTTGGTGATCTCGAAATAGCATTTTTTTATTACTTGACTCCTATTTTACATTTTCAAAATTTTAATTAAACGTTAGTATGTCCGTGAGGGATCTACCACAGGCCCGGAAGGCAGTTCTGCTGAGAAGAGCCGGCGAGAAACTCAGCAGTTGCTCTTTTATTTAGAATAATATTTGTTTACAATAGGTATTGGAATACAATAGTTATCTATTTATCCCACTTAAGACCCAACCAGACATTAGTTCCTCACATCGATGCCCTCAAAGTATTCCGTAATAGTGTAATAAACTGTATTAATTTAAGTCTAAAATTAAAAAAATACTAGTAAATATTTTTAATTTAATACTTAAATTGTTGAAATGTTGCCATTTGCTCATGCTCAATAACGACTGTGAAATTCTATTACATGCGTAACACCTTGCCCCTTGCTGCCAGACTTTTCTAACAGCGAGAATAGCGGAGATCATACCCGCAAGGGACGAAAGATGGGGACCCCATTGAAGACCTGAATCCAATGTCATTCTCAGGAATACCGTGGGATATATAGTACTAAGGATCTCATTATTTAAAAGCAATGTAAAATTCTGTATTCTTATTTCTTACATTAGATAAAGTAAACTCCATATATTTTGTCTTCTTTACGTTTAAAGCTAGATAATTGATGTTATAACAGTGAAATATATGCAATAGTGCACTGTTCACTTCGTGATAATTATTTAAATCTCTATCAACTTTAAAAACTATGGAGGTATCATCCGCAAAGAGCACAATATCACATAACTTGCCAGCATAATAAATCGACAGCATACATATGCTGCATGAACGAATTAACCACTGGACCAGACATATAAGCGGACGTACCTTTAACGGTCATGTCAGTAACCAGGGAATTTTAGCCTGGGTCGTTTGTTTTTTGTGTCAGTCTCAAGCACTTACTTGTCAACAAAACGTCTCCCAAAAATGACTAAATGTTCTGTTAAATGGTGTAAAAACTATAACGGCGAAAGCAGCACTACTTCTTTTTACTTGTAAATACATTATTTTATTACATTTATTGTTATTTATCACAAAATTTAATTAAATGTAAAATAAAATGTCATATTATCCAAATATGTTAAATATAGTCGATATTTCTATGTATTGTTGACATCTGACAACCATCATAAACGGGCTGGATTATACCATTCAGAACAAATGACAAAACTGTCGAGTGAGTCCATTTGACATCGACTAGTGCTTGACAATGTCGAAAAATATATCGATATTTGACGAAATAACTGAACGAATTGTGTTATTTGTTCAGTACAATAACATAAAATACTTTTATCACAGTATCCTACAATCTGATGACAATAAATTTATAAAAATATTTTCTAAATCAAATAAAAATATAAATGCAAAAATTATAATTAGTATGTGTACTTAATTTTATATTTTATTTTATACCACATTTATATACTTTGGAATATTATTCCATTGTAATAATAATAAAGATCATTTTATTTCAACACATAAATTACACAAAATCAAACAATAATGTTTTAGCACTAAACTTCTGGGTTGGCGATTTGAATAAAACACTTTACCACTTGCACTAATTATTTTACTTTCACGATCCAACACTCACTTTTTCACAATTTGCAATCACTTTTTCTTTTTTCTAATTTTACAAATGTTTATTAATAACTGAGCAATATTAGGACAGTGTCACATTTTTATAACTACCCGAGACAATCCATTGCCAATTTCAATAGTTCAATAACAGAATCAACAAAATCACTTTATTTAATTAAATTAGCTTAATATTTTTTTAATCTTTACAAAATAATATTTATTATATATTAATGGAATATACACCCGATATCCATTTGTTTATTAACATTATTATAGGCCAACAGAATGTTGCCATCAATGCCATCGTATTTATATAAATCAAATTAAAAAATAATTATTATTTGACACATTATTATTGCCTCTTTAATTCATTTATTTTAATTTATTATAATAAATACAGATATTTTAAATTAAAAGATGTAAAATATGATGACTATGCTAACCAATGTCTAAAATGTCATTCATTGGTTCATCGATATATGTATTTTATCGATTACGTTCAAACACTAGAAATATTGTATTGTGTATCAGTGTTTATAATAAAGTAATAAAATCTTCGTGTGCGTTATGCGTCACTTGGTTGAACTAGTTTTCATACATTTGTATTTTATGTCAGGTCCAGTCTCTAATTCGTCCATGATATGCTGTTATGAATGTTAATTGATTTTAAACCTCCTAAAGAATTATTTTGATCAGTATTATTTCTTATTTTATTTTCATAAGTTATATATCTCTTTGAAGATAATAAGATAAAATATGTATTTTTAAAACAAATAAATATTCTTGAGCATCCTCCATCATTTTCTTTTTTTCAATAGGTACTAGACTTCGCCGAGTGGTCGACCAAGATTATTATTGTTTTTTTTTTATTTATAAAACTAAAGCTTGTCAATAGCTATTAAACTAAAACAAAAAATAAACAGATCGGTTCACAACCAAAATGATTATTTTAATTAATTTAATGTTTGCTTCACGTATTAATACATAATTCTCAATTTTACCACAGACTTTAACAATAAACAAAAGAGTTTATATGTGTATGTGTCAAATACATGGTAGCACGATAATATCATATTATCGTATCATATTATTAATATGTATAACATTACCGTGATGGTAGGTAGTGTGTGTAATGTTTTTTTTATTGATTTAATGTATTTTTTATGCATGATTTTAAAAAAATATTGGCATTCTGCACTCCTTCTCTATATAAACTACTAGCAATTCACCCTCGCTTCGCTTGTGTTCGTCCCTAGCTTGATTCCCCATACAAATTTTCATCCCCATTTTCACCCCCTTAAGGGATGATTTCGGGGATAAAAGTTCCTTCCCAGGGTTTCAAACTATCTACTTACCAAATTTCATGTAAATCCGTTCAGTAGATCCAGAGATTACCCCCTACGACGTCACAAACTCACAAACTTTACCTCTTTATAGTATTAGTATAGATAAGTGTGGAAAATTTCATACTCCTCCGTCCGCGCAATTTTCGTAAAAAGGGGTACAAAGTTTTTGCTTTACGTATATATATATATATATATATATATATATATATATATATATATATATAGATTCTTTATAATTATTATATAAGCATCAAGCGGAAGTCCAGAGATAAAGCACCTCTTGTCAGTTAGCGTAACTGTCAGTTACCTTAACCGTTAGTTAGCTTAACTGTCGGTTAGCATAACTGTCGGTTAGATTAACTGTCTTTTAAATCTACAAACATTTTTTTGGCCATTTTATCATTCCTAAGGTTAATTTGTTTGTTAACTAACCAATGACTAGAGGAAAGCTGAGATTTAAACATTTGTAGTTTTTTTAATGTTTAATTTAAGTTTTATTTTACTTTTTAATTTTATTTTAGTTTAATAAATGAAAACAGTAATTGTTATTAATTATTATTTACTACATAACTACGAAAAGGTTTCAAAATGTCGACCTTCGTGCTCGATACTAATCCTACATATCTTAAAAAGTTTTCTTTTAGTAATTCGGTTTCTTATCCTCTCAGCCCATTGTTATTGCAGGTATGAGAGTTGCGCCCACGTTTACAACCCATGATCCGCTAGAACGAATCGCGCAAAATTAACGAAACTCTTCAGTCATCAGCAGTCGGGCGAATCTCAGTCATCAGTAGAACAAGTGAAGATGCTGAAATAGCTCTTTGCTAGACAAGTCGAGACCACAAACTATATAGAAATGCTGCATATCTAAATAGTTTTGTGGATTTATGGTGGTGGTGAACTACGTTTGAAATGCCGAATGCGTAGCATTTAAATTTTAATGATACGCATGTTAAGAGTCGAGACCAAATAGTGCTAAACCAGAGCGAGAGACAAGACTTTCACTCACGCGCTCCAATAGGGGAAGAATTTTGCCTATTTCTTCCGCCAGATGTCACAATCATTATAGCCCTCAGTATATTTTAAAGCTCTTGGATGGACTTTTTTACATTTCATTTAAAATTTTACTAAAATAACAAATGATGCAGTGCCAGGATACGAAAAAAATCGATATAATTTGTTTCCAAAAGACAAAACTGAAGAAATTTTGGGCTACAGCAATAAGAATAGTAATAAAGTTGGCCAAATCACAATCTTTACATTTAAGGTTATGTGGACATCATTTTAAAGAAAGTGATTCTAAAACTCTTAAATCATCTTCGGGTGAATATTTTTTTTAATTTTTTGTACTCTTTTACATATTAATTACAGTTTCATACAAACTTTCACCCCTTATTTAACTCCTTTTGGGATTGAATTTCGAAAAATGCTAATACAAGTATTTATTCAATTGTATTATAATATAAGAGCATTAAAATCAAATTTGAAGTAATTCTGTTCACAAATAATTTTTTGCCCATATAAACTTTATTACCCCCGACCTACATGACAGAGTTTCATACAATCTTTAATCCCCTATTTTACCCACATAAGGGACGATTTTAATAAAATTTTACGTTTCTACGACCAGCGGTATAGACTGTGTGTTGATCCATCAGTCAGTCAGGAGTACGGACCACCGCAGGATGCACCTCTCCTTCTCAATTCTTCCTTCGGCTGGTCTAACTTCCACGTACAATACATTGCACAGGTAAGATATGAACACAATAGAAGCAAAAAATCAGGTATAAAAGAGATATCACAATAAATTGCATAACCTCAGACTGAATGTAAATAGGCCATACGTGTGGCGCCCTCCTTTGGAGAAATCTTCCCCATCTTTACACTACAAACATAGATCATGATTAATAAATATTTATCTATGGAATTCTATTATAATTATTCTACTTTTTATTTGTCATCCATGGTTCTACTGTTCTGTCAAGTGTCACGGTCAATTTTCACATTTTAATTTCCATTTTCCTTCAAATTTCATTTCATACGTGAAAGTTCATTTAAATCAAATTTTATTCACATTCTTAATGTAAATTTATCAATATTGTTTGATTCGTAATTCAATATTGCAATTTTTTTATTTAAATAAATATGGCTGATGAAGAGGTTAATGGTGATACCGATGACATACAACACGAAAAGGACAAAACTCAGAAAAAGGCTGCAAAACATGATAGTGGAGTAGCTGACTTAGAAAAAGTAACAGATTATGCTGAGGAAAAAGAAATATCATCTCAAGACATATCTGGTGTAAGTACTTGAAAAACATAATAAAGCAATCAAATTACCAAAACAAAGAATTTCTAAATATAATAGACCAGATAACTTTTTACTCTCTTACTCAGAATATAACCCAAATTTTCAGGGACTGCATCCCCTATATGTTTTATTTACATTAGTAGTAAAATATTTTATTGTAATTATATTCTAGGCTCTTTCATTAATTGGTGACCGCAGAAATAAAGAAGCTGCAGAAAGACTTGAAAAAGAAAAAGAACTTCAAAAGGTGTCTGTCAGAAAGGATGATATAGAATTAATAGTAAGTGAATATATATAGGAAAATTAGTATGAGTAAAAATTTTGTTACACTATAATAAATAGCATAAATTTTTTGAGTGGATTACAATCAGATACTACAGCAAACAGTCAAATGATCTAAGGGGACATCCATTAATAATGTGAGCTACTTTTTTCATAATTTGAACCCCCTCTCTCCTTGGTGAGAGTTAATAAGATTTGGTGGGACCCTTCCCCCCCCCCCCCTTACGTGAGATTTATGCTACAGTTGTTAAAAATAATACAAGTTAGAACATTGAGGTACTCTCAAAATAAATGTTTTTTATAATAGCCATGACATTTTTACAATGGGCAAAATGGGACACTTACAAAGGAAACAAGAAATAATAAATATTTTTTTATTACTTTACTTACTAATTAATCAATGTCCCCAAGGAATCTAACAATTTAGTTGAAAGTATATGTATAAATATACAAACATACATAGCCAGTATTGATTATTAGAAATAATACAATTATTGTACAAGCTGAATGTGTTGCAGATTTGACCTTCCATTCTGACTCGAACAATTAAATTACTATAGTTTTAATCACTCCAGGATAATTTCTAAGAATTTAATTGTTCACCGAGCCACCGGTGGCTCTGCGGTCATTGACAGATTTATTATTGTGTCATAATGTTTTTAGGTAAAAGAAATGGAAATATCCAGGACGTTAGCAGAAAGAACTCTGAGAGAACATAGAGGTGACTTGGTGGCGGCTCTGATAACTCTAACTAATTGAAGACCTTTCTTTGATCTTTGTGTTATATTTGTAATAGAGTATTTTTCAATCTCTTCAATGTGTCTTATTTGACTTTAGTATAAAAAACAAATAAAATATGGTATATCTCAGAAAGATAATTACTTTTGAGTTTTGACACTAGATTAAAATTGATTTTAGTGTAATAGTTTTTCATCTACAATTTGGAAAACAGAGATGGATTAGAAAAAACAACTAATATTATACATAATATAATTGTGTTGTGTAATTTTTATGGTACATCTTCTATAATAGTCAACTTCCATTAAGAAAATAGTTATAGGTTCAAATTATTATAATTTTTTTAAAGTTCTTGACCTCCCAAATTATTTATTAGCATAATAATAATATAATTAATATATCCTATGCATGGGCGCATCCAAGTAGGCCCCCCCTGCCCCTCGTATTTGACATGTTATTGTTTTGAAAAAGCCAAACGTAGGTGACGAAAAATAGTTATCAACGTTCATATCTATACATATAATAAATTGTAACTGATCACTGTCTGTACATGGGAGATATTTGAGAAAAAATATTATTGGGGGTTTTTATTAACGCGATAAAACCCAAAACAATGATTTTTAGATTTTTTGTCTGTGCGTTTGTGCGAGCTAAAAACGGCTTAACCTATTTGGATGCGGTTTTCACGAATGTATTTTATGGTAAGCTTCACTTAACATTTAGTATTTGTTTTATTTCAATCGGTTCATAAATAAAAAAAAATATTTCAATTTAATGCAAAAACACAAGAAACATTTTTTGGAAAAAAGTTGTGTATACTTATGTACGCACGTAATAAGTAATACTTCTTTGATTTTTTAGAGCATTTAAATAAAAGCTTATTTTTTTTTAAATTTAATGTTTTTACTTTTTTTTCGTATTCTTCTCAGCAAATCCTTTCGTTTGATATCCATATCATGAGTTTGCAAAATAAACAGTCTGCCATTTTAAATTTTATAATGTCACTTTGCTTATTGTGTTTCGCTCATCAAGCCCTTTCATTTGATACCCATATATGGGTCACTATGGAAATAATAAATCGCCATTTGGTAACGTCCGTCCGTCGTATTGGATTAAAAATGGCGGCATTTAGGAAATCGTGCAGTCACGAGAGTCAAACGTGTGTACCAAATTTCAGCTCAATCGGACAATTTGAAGTGGGTCAAATTTAACTTGTAAGTTTTGATTACAGACAGACACCGAGACAGGTGAAACTAAATCAAAGCTTGTAATCATTTTTATATTTATCAACGGAAAACACGTGTTATGTAGGTATATAGAAATACCGGAATATATATCTTGAATATAATAGACATCTCATTATACTAAAGGGAGATTTAAAGACTAACTTCTTACTGTAGTAAAAAAATCAATCTCATCGTCTATTTTTCATAACGCGCCAAAAGAAGTATAACTTCAAAAATGCTATAAAATACTGTTCAGTTGATTTGGCTGAAACTTTGGTTAATTATATTATATGTAGTTTGTAAAACGATGATGTTTGAAAGTTTATATGGACACAGCAAAGTCAAAAATTAACAATTTTAGAAAAGACGCTGCCAATGTAAGTTGAGACGTCTATATGGTTTAGCTTAAACTGTCGAGCGACGGCGCACCCTGGTAACAGCTAAAACTCGGTTATTTTCTTTTTAAATTATTAGGGTTCGATGCAAAAAAATTAAAATCCAATCCGCGTAGGTACTTAGGGATGCACCCAAGGGAATCGAGGGTAAATCGTTTGTCTATCTTACAGGTATTTATAGTCTTCGTGGAGTGTCGAACCTATACAAACTACGACCACAACTCTCGCATTCAGTCACCTTAAAATAGTGGACCAAAAACGGATAGAGTTCACCTTTCGACTCTCGATATTTCAAATCTTCAGTGTATCCGTTCCATTCTAATTCCCCATCGACCAATACTGAATCAGAATTAGAATAAAACGGATTAAAGATTTTCAGAGTAATATCTTCATTTTAGCAAAATCAGGTCATGGTGGGCTGATGGAGTTGTAGCTGCAATAAAATAATCTGTTCACCGAGCAGTGTCTCGTGATATTAATATCACTGATTTACTTTATGAATGTTATTATGCAGACTATTAGCAGCGTATTTATAAGTGACATAGGTAATTTCAGATTCTACCAAAGATTCATATGCCGAAAAAGCTGTTCTTTTTTCCTAATTAAATGAGCCGAAGTTATTGAACTAAATGTGGTAAACTTATGTGCCATTAGCTGAAGCTATAAAGGAAATTAGTATGCTGCGACGATAAGACGGGCCAACTATTCTAAACTAAACTATTAGAATAGTTGGCCAGTCTTATCTTCGCAGCATACTATTAGAATAGTTGGCCAGTCTACCAGCGAATGGGTAGAAAAAGTGTGCTGACGCTGGCTGGCAATTTGAAAGATAATAATTTAGTAAAATTAAACAGACGAAAATTTATGAGAAGGAAAATGGACCAATAAATGCAACAGATTTGCTAAATAATTATGAAATCCTGCAGAACTCTATAAATATTCTGCTTTGGAACGATGACTGCGATATTGAGTTAAAAATATTTTACATATCGATTGATAAAGCTTAGATTTTGTCATCCCTGAGTTACTTTTTTTTAATCTAATTTGTATGTACCATTTTACTCATTAATCTGCCGACATCTCATTCAACTGATAATGAAATTTGTCTGTGCACTATATAACTAATTTAAAAATTAGCCAATATAAGGGCCTCTGCAAATTGCAATCATCAGATATTTTGTGGTTCGGTGGTTCCACTTCTATATAATCATAGTAAATTGTGTGAAAATTGATAAAAATTTTGAGCAAAATAATTCATACAAAAGTCAAAAACCTTACCTCTCACAGAATTTGCGCCAAACCGTGGGTCTGAAGTTGAAAATGTTAATGGAGGACATTTCCAACTTCAGATGAGCTGAAATTGCATGCTTTTGATAGTGAAAGGTTTAGGCAGTTTTTTTTTTGGATTCTGTATACTAAAAACATTAACAACTTATTTTGAAAAAAACTTGTTTCCTTGATTACAGAAGACTTATCAGTTTACCTACTTACTTATTTTTACTTTCGTAACATTTTCTAAAAAAATTTTTTTACTTTTATTTTAATACATGAATTTAAAAACAGGCGTGTTGTTAAGCGTTAAAATAGACTTATACATATGTACAAAATGTGTAATGTTAGGTCATTTAATTCCATACATTCCAGTACAATTGTAGGTTCTAATAATAAATTGGATATATATCATAGATATAGATGTAGTTCTATATTCTTAATAACGCCTCTATTAAAAAATATTTACTTTGCCACGTAGAGCGCCGACACATTTACTACTTCATGATAAAATTTTAAAATACATAAATTCTAAATACAAATGGATTTGTGAAAAAACTTCTCGAAAATGTTTCTTGTGAGAACTTATTAATTTTTTATATAAATTCTAAATAGTTTTCTAGAATAAAAAAGGTAATAATTATTGTTAAAGTTCCAAATTATTTTGCAGTAAGTAATCGCGATAAAGTTGGTTAATCCTTTTGAAGACTAGCTGGAATTATGAGACTTAAATTCTAAAAATATGTTTTTTGTTTAATCATTATATGCATATTAACCGTAAGTGCTTACATAAAGAAGTTAATAATAAGTATAATGGAATCATAGAGAAACGGTTTTATTAGCATTATATAGTAAATCAAAGATTTATTTATAATATTTATCTGTTGAATTAATCTCTTGTTCTTGTTTGTCTGTGGCTTATGTTCTGAGGACGAGATGTGCAATTGTTTTTCTTTTGTGGCTAAATTATTTTCTTGAATTCTTCTTTAATTTTTTTGATGATTTTGCTTTACTGAATATTTGAATTCTTTTTAATTTTTACTTTAATTTTTCTTGTGAGTGACAAACAAAATTATAATCGAGGTTTTCTTAGAGGGTAAGTAAAGCTGTCATATATTGAAAACTTAACTCTAATTTTATATTTACATTTAAAAATTCAATATATTAACACTTTATAATAATAATATTACGCCACTTGATTGAGTTATGTATGTGAACATAAGTTAATTCCTAGATACTTAAATGTTTCCAAAATTTAGACATACAAGTAAAATACTTATTGTAGGAGAATTAAAAAAATTTTTTCCTGTAAAATGAATATTACTTTCTACATAATGTAAATACATTGAATTTTTAAGTTCCTGCATTCAACAATAGTATAATAATAAATGAAAATGCTGATACTTAGATTTGTACAGCTTCTGTTGTTCTTGAATTATTCATCATTGCCATTTACATGTTGTAAGATAATAAATGATGTTAAATTAGCTCTGTATTTGTCACTGCATTTTTGTTGTACATGCCAAGATTGTTATAATGTTTTTTTTATATAACTAGACAACCTATATTCTCAGGAATGAAAGCAAAAAGGACTATGCGAAATGACTGTCACATTAATATTTGTATTATACATACATTTAGTTATCCTTTCATTAATATAAACATATTATAACCTAAAACATTACAATTCTTTCATCCCTCATGAATCTTTGTAAAAGTAATTCTTTAAAATAAAGACTAAGAGATCAAAGCTTCAGTTACTATAGTGAAAATTCAAAAACATTTACTTGCATTTACTTGCATTACTATATTAAATGATTATGAAAAGAGAGGTTAACAATCACTCTAACCCTCGGTTAATATTTACAGTATATGATAATAAGTTATTAAAATTAAGAATACAATAGTCAGTTTTCAACACAGGAAAGTCCGCAAGCTAGGTGGTCATAGCTAATTCATATAAAATCAAAAATATATGTAATTATTGAATTTATAGCAGTGATGGGTAGTCAATCATAGTTCTTCAGAATTTGTACCAAATTATATCATGTATTTTGACTGCAGAATTATGATTTATGTATATGTACATAAATTATATTATTTTGACAATATTGAATGATGAAATCAA